ACTTCATATATTAAGAAAATATGGACAAAATATAAGCCCCGCCCACCCACCCGTTCTCAATTGTGATGAATGTTTTATTCATCGTCAGCTGAAGGAGGCGGAGTTTAGCTGCAAAATCCTCATTTCTGGACAAGAAATTATCATATGAAATATATTTTTAAAAGGACAGAATTTTCTAGGGAAATAATATGTCACAATTAAACTGGACCCCCCCCCCCTCTATTTAGGAATGAAACACTCCTCACAATCTAGATCGGGGCGGGTGGGTGGGGCTTAATTTTCTTTTTTTTTTATAATATACAGAGTTTTCTTTCAACAACAGGATAGTTAAACATTGTCGGTTTCTTGTTGGGAAAAGAAGACTTCGTATATTAAGAAATAGTGGACAAAATATAAGCCCCGCCCACCCACCCCTTCTCAATTGTGATGAATGTTTTATTCATCGTGAGCTGAAGGAGGCGGAGTTTAGTTGGAAAATCCTCATTTCTGGCCAAGAAATTATCATGAAATATATTTTTAAAAGAATAGAATTTTCTAGGGAAATAATATGTCACAATTAAACTGGAACCCCCCCCGTCTATTTAGGAATGAAAAACTCATCACAATTGAGATCGGGGCGGGTGGGTGGGGCTTAATTTTTTAGTTTTTTTTTAATATATAGAGTTTTCTTTTAACAACAGGATAGTTAAACATATTGTCAGTTTTTTGTTGGGAAAAGACTTCGTATATTAAGAAATAATGGACCAAATATAAGCCCCGCCCACCCACCCGTTCTCAATTGTGATGAATGTTTTATTCATCGTGAGCTGAAGGGGGCGGAGTTTAGTTGCAAAATCCTCATTTCTGGACAAGAAATTAATATGAAATATATTTTTAAAAGAATAGAATTTTCTAGGGAAATAATATGTCACAATTAAACTGGACCCCCCCCCTCCGTCTATTTAGGAATGAAAAACTCATCACAATTGAGATCGGGGCGGGTGGGTGGGGCTTAATTTTAGTTTTTTTTTTAATATATAAAGTTTTCTTTTAACAACAGGATAGTTAAACATATTGTCAGTTTTTTGTTGGGAAAAGACTTCGTATATTAAGAAATAATGGACAAAATATAAGCCCCGCCCACCCACCCGTTTTCAATTGTGATGAATGTTTTATTCATCGTCAGCTGAAGGAGGCGGAGTTTAGTTGCTAAATCCTCATTTCTGGACAAGAAATTAATATGAAATATATTTTTAAAAGAATAGAATTTTCTAGGGAAATAATATGTCACAATTAAACTGGACCCCCCCCCCTCCGTCTATTTAGGAATGAAAAACTCATCACAATTGAGATCGGGGCGGGTGGGTGGGGCTTAATTTTAGTTTTTTTTTTAATATATAAAGTTTTCTTTTAACAACAGGATAGTTAAACATATTGTCAGTTTTTTGTTGGGAAAAGACTTCGTATATTAAGAAATAATGGACAAAATATAAGCCCCGCCCACCCACCCGTTTTCAATTGTGATGAATGTTTTATTCATCGTCAGCTGAAGGAGGCGGAGTTTAGTTGCTAAATCCTCATTTCTGGACAAGAAATTATCATGAAATATATTTTTAAAAGGATAGAATTTTCTAGGGAAATAATGTCACAATTAAACTGGACCCCCCCCCCCCCCCCTCCGTCTATTTAGGAATGAAAAACTCATCACAATTGAAATCGGGGCGGGTGGGTGGGGCTTAATTTTGTTTTTTTTTTTTAATGTACAGAATTTTCTTTCAACAACAGGATAGTTTAAACATATTGTCAGTTTCTTGTTGGGAAAAGAAGACTTCGTATATTAAGAAATAATGGGCAAAATATAAGCCCCGCCCACCCACCCGTTCTCAATTGCGATGAATGTTTTATTCATCGTGAGCTGAAGGGGGCGGAGTTTAGTTGCAAAATCCTCATTTCTCGACAAGAAATTAATATGAAATATATTTTTAAAAGGATAGAATTTTCTAGGGAAATAATATGTCACAATTAAACTGCCCCCTCCCCCTCTGGTTAGGAATGAAAAACTCATCACAAGGGAGATCGGGGCGAGTGGGTGGGGCTTAATCTTTGTTTTTTTTGGTTTATATACATGTTTTTTTTCCAACAATTTTCAGTAATTTTGGACTGAAAAATGAAAAACCGAAAAATCTAAAATTGAAAAATAAATGGAAACGGCCAAAAGTTTAAAAATCGGAAAACTGAAAAATTGAAAAATTAAAACTCGAAGAGATCGTAGAGTTAAAAAAAAATTGATAAATTGCAAATTGAAAACCTGACGAAACGAAGAATTGAAATTGAAATTAAAGAAACAAACAATTACAAAATCGGAGCATTGAAAAATTGAAAAATAAAGAATATAAAAAACTGAAACTAAAAAATAAAAAATTGAAAACTCGAGAAACTCAAATCGAAAAATTGCAAAATCTAGGAATTGAATTGAAAAGTTGAAAAATTGAAAAATTAAATTTAAATTTCAAAACTCGAAAAAATGAAGCAAACAAAAAAAGAAAAATTGAAGAAAAAATGTAAGTCAAGTTTGAATTGACTGCACTTCGGGGGCGAGGGAAGTTCTGTTGAAATAACCATCGACCAATTTTTTTTATTAAACAAAGAAACCTTCGTAGAATTCCGAAATTTTGATTATGTTACCATAAATGATAGAAAGTTCTTTAAAATTTTCAAAATAAATAAACAAGCAAGCTATGAACCTTTATTAGTTTATGCATTTGTTTCAAGGGTAAAGAGTACTGAAGAGGGTTTAGTTCTACATCTGCAAATTGAAAGCCTAAGAAAAAATCTTGTTAAATCGTAAATTAAAAAAAACACAAATGTTTTTGATATTTTAGGCAAAGTTCTGGATTTTTAAAAACAGTAGTTACCACAAATAAATTGGCGCTGCAATTTACACGAGTGGGAAACGGACATTCTATGCGACTTGCACGTAATTTTTTCTACGATTGCATTTAATAATCAAATGTGTCTCTAATTAGCCGTAATTAAGTGGAGTTAACTAATAATTCGTAATTATGCGAAAAACCAATTCTATGCGAGTTACACAAATTTTTTTCTACGATTTCCGTTTCATTTAGTTATTTTGAACCAACTCCCTGAATAAATCAATTAAATGTGTCTCTAATTAACCGTAATTAAGTGCAATTAACTGTAAATAAGAGTGATAATAATACCAATAAATATTAAAAACAGAACGGAGCCGTCCAAACATCCACAAAATTCCGCCGTCCTAAAATTAAGTTGGAACAACACTATTTTTAAATCCATGTTTAGAATGCCTTCGTTCCACTTCGTTTCCTTTTTCGTGGTCCGTTTAGCGCTAATTGGTTCGGACCCTAATGGGTATTTAATTTTTATTTTTTAGTGTAATTTAATGTATATCGATTGATAAACTAATTTTAGTGTTAATAACAGCCAGTGGCGCACCCAGCAAAAATTGATTGGGGGCATAGTACATAATTAGGTATGATAATTACAACATTAAACTAATACATATTTAATAGATATAATTTATTAGTATGTAGTTAGTTAATAATTATTTTGTTTTTAATTCATCTTGAAATTTAGAGAGCGGCGTCGCAGTAGACGTAAAAGTGTCCGGATTAGTTCATTTTTGAAGGGGAAGAAACTACTGGTCGTACCTTCAGCGGCGTTCGTCATTCCTTTGCAATTTTTTGTAATTTAATCCAACAAAACACACAATCTTCAAGTTTGTGGTTTTTAAGCCACATCCGGTGCTGTTACACCATGAAAAAATATAAATATGATAAGTTTTTCGAATAATTCGAACTTAAAAAAGTGAAACTAGAATACCAGATGTCGAAGTTGTTTGAATTTTGAATATTACTTCATAATGTGGCCTCAGAAATGAATGAGCGATAATACCTCTTATTTCCACTTTTCCTTTTATTATTCATGTTACCACAACAATGCTACTATTATCGTTTTTGTTATTTATTATTCTCAAAGGCATTCAACACACCACGGTCACCCGAACCAGAATGAACCAACGTCTCGTCAAAACCCTTCTTATACCCAAGGAAAATCACCAGCTTTCACAAAAATCCATTAAAAACCAACTAAAAACCATCAAAACCCAATCAACAACCAACTAGTTCCAAATCGTTTCCCAAAGCACCCATCAACATTCGAATAATGCAAACTATTTTCCGACGAGTCGACACATTTTCCATTTGTTTCGTAACCAGAAGCGACAAAACCATCGACGCCTGCTCATTCCTGCAGGTTTTTCAACTCGTCGGTGCCCCAAGGACATCCGCTCCTTCCGAAACAATACCGATCAACGGATAAATAATAACACTAATAACGATAATGCGCTGGAAGCACTCTAATTAATCCGTTCCCACGATTTTCGCGTCGTAAAAAACCAGTTTCAGTAACTGAAGCGCATCAAAGTCTGAAACATGCGTCGACCTCTATATGAGCTTAAAATAACGTCGGCCATAAATCGTGATTCTTTTCCGCCGCCCCCCCTTCGAAGCGAGGTTATAAAGCCGGCCGGAGAGCGGCGGCGGAGGCACTTTGTGGTGGTTCTTCGACTTTGGTGGCTGTGCTTTGTGGTCAGCGGACGCCGATTGGTGAATATTGATGTTTTTTTTGCTTGTGGAGTGTGGGATTGTGCGTTGCGCCGGTTTCAGCTGAGAGAGAAGGGGGCGCGCAGTTGTGACTTAAGTCGGCAGTGGCTTTGTTGCGAAAGCTCGAGACTAAACAATGGAATAAAATTTATTGCCTTTTGGGATTGTATTTTTTTATTGTTTGGAATTTTATTTTGTCGTGGCCTTGTGAGCTGTGTTGTAAGAGGAAGTTTTAACACGTGTTCGAGCATAAATAAAGTTTTATTTATTGAACAGTTTTCGAAACGGTCGTAAATTGTAATTTGTCATGTAACTTGTAATTTATTTTTGAGTTTGAATTTTATTTTTTTATGTGGATATAAACGCTTTTTTTGATTCAAGGTAATATTTGAAAACCAAGTTCACATCTTAAAAAATAACCCCCAAGCGAGTTTTATTTGTATAATATTACAATAATTAAAAAAAAATGTCTCAAGTGTTTAAAGATGAACAATTACTTCGGTTTTTCCTAGTGACAGTTTTAAAATTAAAAAAAAATCCGTAAAAATTACAAAAATTTAAAAAATGGACACACTCGAAAAAAATGGAGAATATCTAATTTTTTTTCAATGGCAGGACACTAAAATCCAAGTCGGGCTTTTTTTCTGATACAGGGCCGTCACAAATAACAAGGAAAATTTTTGGTTAATTTTTTCAAATGATTTTCTTCAGTTATCAATTTTCGAAAGCGTTTAGTTGTTAAAAGTGAACATTTTTTGCAAATTTTCTGAATAACTGAATTTAAAAAAAATAATTAAACAACTTAAAAAATATACCAGTGACAGTGGCGCAATTAAAATAATATTTGATAATAATAATAAAATAATAATTATAAGTTAAGCATGTACTGATAATTTTTCCCATTAAATTAATTACGTAAATGAAACACGCTGAAGCTGAAGACATAATAAATCCGTTTTTGTTTATATATGCGAAGAAACAAAACTTCCATCTTAACCTAGTTGTTTTTCTAAATAAATCAACAAATAAAAAAATCTCGATAACCTTAGCCATTCCGTCACTTCATGTCGTATTTGCATACCAGATAAGCGAATTATATTTGTTCAAAGCGGCTGAAGATCCTTATTTTAGAGTAAACTTCCGCTCGCTATCTCTCTCACGCTCGTTACATTACCGGTATGTTTGGTTTTAACTGGATGCAGAAATTATAGAATGCCTATGACTCGAGTGGACATCGACGAAACCATAATTCGCCGCTGGAAAGGCACTAATTTATCAAACCCGGTAAGGACGGAGAAGAACCAATAAAGAACCGTAGAGATTTACAAAAATAACTTGTCTTAATCGAAGAGGAGAACATAGACGATCTTCTCGCTTAAGTATGTTTAGTTAAGTTTACGGAAAGCTAAGACTAGGAGAGGATAAGGATAGGACTACGCTACCTTTAACTTGTAATATTGTCACAATCCAGCCCGAGGAAGGACTTTTGTGATTAATTTCTGTAGTGAGTCCAAATTCTCGCTCGACTACACTTTCGAGAAAACGAAAGCTTGATTTTTCTATTTGATTTGATAGATCGAGTGTCCTTTTTTTGTTATCAAAATGTCTTCTTGGACTCATTCCTTCATACAGTTTCAATTTAGAACAGCAGCAGCACGTAAGGCTAAGGTAAGAACATCAGGGTGAAAAGGTTTCGTGGCACTGTGTTTAATAAATTTTTGGCCGTGTTCGAAATTTCGTACGTTTGCACACTTTCGGAATTTTGTACCTAGACTGGCGCCGGATTACCCTTCTTTGATTCGTTTACTTGGAAATTTTCTTTGGTCGTTTTTATTTGTTTTCGATCCAAATTCAAAATTACTTTTTTTTCTAAATTTATTTTTAATTATTTTCAGTGGCAAACTGAGCCGTTTACCGAAAAAGTGCTCCGACAGTTACACGAGATACCACAGGTGGTCATTAACAGGGAAAGGTAACTAACTACAACACTCGAAAATTTCGTTCAGACTCCATCGATTTTCTTTACTCATCGCACCCTGTACCGCCCCCAATGACAACCAAGGTTTTTCTTTTGTTTTAGCGTGATCCGCCACACCCGCGCTGACCACAACGTCCCCGACATCTCGAACATCGCGAGCTACGTCGAGTGCACCAGCGAATCGACCCGGGAGTTGCACGCCAGCGCCTACGAGGATGACAATATCGAGAATGAATTGACTAGAATGTTCAGCAATGAACACGACAAACCAATAGACACCAAAGAACCCCAAGTGACCGCCCCTATTTCGAAAAAACACAAAAGACGGGCAGCTCTTAAGAAACTCGTCGAGCTCTTCGGTTCGGCACTCGATGACTTGGAGGAGCCCACGCCTCGAAAGAGGATTCGAAAGCGACGGCGGCACACTCTACCGGTGTCCCTGCCCATAAACCCCGAGATTCTCACCCCTTTGAGGGTTAAAGAGAAGAGGAGGAGCGAACCCGACCCGGGTACTTGTAAGAAAGTGGTTAGGACGAACGTAGCTCGGACGGTCGAAGTGACTTACAGTCGTGTGACGCACCTGGTGCTCCCGCCGGTGTACCACGAGACGGCGCGAGTGACTTACAGTGACCACGAGATGGAGACGGCGTTCGTGGTGGGTCAACCCCAGACGGGACACAGCGAAACCGCGAAAGCCACTCAGAAGATGACGACGTTCATCGATTTGACGACGGAAGAGGAGAACACGGTGATGGAGTTCAGCGGGATCAAGGTGGCGGTGAAGGGCGAGTACTTCAAAGGCGAGAACAAAGCGCCGTCGATGCCGTCGCTGTCTCCGAACAAACCGCCGGATGCCACGAAAGGGGAGCAGGTGATCCTCACGCAGAGGCCGCCGCCTCCTGGGAAGCAGCCGGAGCTGGAGATATTTCCCGTCGAGACCGGCGGGAGTGCGCCTATTGTGTTCACTCAGAACATTGTCGTGGCTAGAGCGACGAACGCGGGTGCGGGGCACCAGCAACCAACCGTCGGGAACAAAGCGGTTGCCCAGGTGGTTCCGTTGAAAGAGAAAATCCACGGACAAAAGCGACCCAGCGTCGAGTCGTCTAAGACCATGGAAGCCCCTTTGGTTCCGTCGCGTCGGAAATGCAGTACGGACAAAACGGGGCTTCCAGACCACTTCAACGTACCTTTGAGCGGAATCCAGCAACAGCCGACTCTTAACCAAGCTCCGGATCTTCGGCAGGTGAACGCGTCGGTCCTGGACGAGTTAGTTCAGTGGGAAGCCGCCAAAAAACGCGCCTTAATCCAATCTCAAGCACCGACGGGGTACCCCGTCTGTCGACCTAACTTCCAAGTTCCTCCGCAGTGGCAGTGGTCCACCGTGAACAACCCACAAATCGTGCAAAGACCTAACGCGGAACCCACGTACAGTCAGCTGCCGCCGCGTCTAGTGCGTCTGCTGAGTGTCCCTACCGACTTCACCCTCATATCTAACTCCATGTGTGCGGAACGACTTTACCCTCACGTTAATAAATTCGTGCAGTGGCGATGCAACGCCAGCCAGTTTCACGAAAAAAGCAGACTTTACGTAACCCCAGCCGATTTCAAAGAACACAGCAACAAATTCATGGCGTACTTTAACAGTCTCCGGGTTGTCTTCAGCCGTAACATGGTGAAGGAGTTATCCGGAGTAGAAGTCCGCGACTTCAACATCCACCAAATCCTCACCTACCTCTCGGTCAAAATCGTCGAAGGCAATCGCACCGTCACCGTCTTTCGCATCTGCAGCACCCTCTACTCGATGCTCGGACCAGTGGAAGCCGAACTGAACACCCCTTTTTTACGCAAACTCTTCACCACCATCAAGACTTCCGTCCAAAAGATGGAAGAAAAATCCAAGAAAGGTAAGTCAAGTCGGAAACGAGAACCCCGAGGATAATAGTGAGTTTCTTAGCGCTCTTCACGGCAGCGCAGCTGCAAGTTTTACAAACGCAAATCCGTCAGTACAACCATATACAGAATTGGCTTAGCGCGAATATCGGGTCCGTGCCGCTGCGCGTTCGGATCCCGCCGCAGAAGAAGCAGCAGCCTCCTCAGCAGAACGCGCAGAGGTGGCAGAGGAGCGCTGTCACCGAGACCACGAGGAATGTACCACTAGACACCAACGCCAGTACTGGTGAAAGTACGACAGCGCAGGCGCCGGAAAGCGTCACCGACAAGAATGCGCCTGCGCAGAATCGCGAAAGTGTGGCCGAACCTAACACGCAGACTCCTGTAGTACCTGAAAATCCGCAAACCAAGAAAAACGTGCAAGAATCTCAAGAGTGCAATAAAGAGCAAACGGCAGTTCCGACGAACGAAGTTAATAGTGTTAAGAATGAATCGAAGGACGGGAAAGATGAGGAGGTTATAGATTTAACGTGGATAGAAGATGGAGACCAGGAGGAAATCCTCGAGGAGATAATAGAGTGCAAATACTTTCCGTTCAAGGCCGAAAACTACGAAGAGAGCGAAGTCGTTGCGCGAGAGGTAAATAGGTGTTTTGGGTGTCATGGGTGTTAATAGTTGGGTTTTAGGTGGTTTCGCCCACGGATAGCGGTCTCGGGAGTCCGGTGGCTCAGGTTAGTGTCCCGTCTGCGATTTTTCGTTTCAAATTGGTGTGTTTGTCTTTTTACAGAGTGATAGCGATGGATTTAAGTGTCTCTGTGGCAACAAAGCAATATACGTGTGTGCTTGTAATTCGTCGATGTATTGCAGCAGCGACTGTCAAGTAAGTCTGGACTAGGGTGGAAATTTTTGATTTTTGGGGTGTTCGTGCTTTTTAGGGCCGGGATTGGGTCTATCACCAGAAGTTGTGCCATAAGATGAAGTCTTGACAAGGAATGAGGCAACGAAACGTCATTCCAACTAAAGACTGAAATACACACAGTATTACTAAGGTTATGTTTGCGTTAATCGAAGTTACTTTTTGTTATTATTTTGCAAGATTTTAGGTCTTGTTGAGTATTTTTCTATTTTTGTATATTCTACCAAAGCTTCAAATTTAAATTATAATAAAGATTACTTTTTTTTTTAGTTTCGTTATTTATGAACGACTGACGAGTGTTTGTGTTTGTGTTGACCTTTTCTTCATATGGACGCTCGTAAAAATTTAATGACATCGTAAAAACAAGTTAGTCGATTCGATTAAAACTAAATAAGTTTAAATAGCGTGTCGATCTGAGGCTAGAACCACTCGAAATGTTGTGGAATGAAACTGGCTTCCTATGTCAAAAAGTGGGGTTAGAATAATTGCATGAGAAGCCACATTCACACACACACATTAGGGGGCTTCAGTCGCTACTTTTACGTTTTCTCGACCTTTGATGACCCCTTGAATACGAAAAAATAGGTCTCCCGTTTCCGTCTGTCTGTCCGTCTGCCGTCCCGAATTTTTATTAGACGGATAATCTTCGAAAGTACTGGGTCGATTTTTGTCAAATTTTGTATTTATATTAGGAATATCATGTAGATGTCAAAATGTGATGACGTCAATTCAGAATTGTACACAGTAAATGGGTTTTAAATTTCTATGACTCCGTGTTGAGTTTTTACCCGAAACGTCCAGATTTTTGGAAAAAAATCAAAATTATAAAACATTTTGCAACTTAATTTTGAATTTGACAAGTTGAATACTTTGAAATTTTGCGGATGTTTTAAATTTATAGTGAACATATTTTTTAATCAAAATATATTCGCTTATCCCCTCCAAAAAATTGATAAATACTATCAAAAATATGCAAAATATGATAAGTCTATATTTGTGATTTATGACTGCATCCATATTTTTTAGGTTTTGCTTATAGAGGCTGACTCAAAAAAATTAACCACTGAGTTAAAAAATAAACATCCAATCAGATTTAGGAATTTAACTCGTTACTATGGAAATTTGCAATTTAACACCTTTAAATTTAACAAGTTTTTACAAATTTAATAGGGGCAAAATTAATATTATGTTAGCAAGTGCTAGCCCCGCCCACCCGCCCCCTAGTTTCTCAGAGGATATGACGTTTGCCAAAATCAGTCTTATCTGCGCAAGTATTAGCCCCCCCCCCGCCCACCCCTATTTCCTCAGAGGATATATTGTCTGCCAAAATCAATCTTATCTGAGCAAGTACTAGCCCCGCCCACCCACCCTCTATTTTCTCAGAGGATATGTCATCTGCCAAAATTAGTCTTATCTGAGCAAGTTCTAGCCCCGCCCACCCGCCCTCTATTTTCTCAGAGGATATCACGTTTACCAAAATCAGTCTTATCTGCGCAAGTATTAGCCCCACCCACCCACCCCTATTTCCTCAGAGAATATGTTGTCTGCCAAAATCAATCTTATCTGAGCAAGTACTAGCCCCGCCCACCCACCCTCTATTTTCTCAGAGGATATGTCATCTGCCAAAATCAGTCTTATCTGAGCAAGTACTAGCCCCGCCCACCCGCCCTCTATTTTCTCACAGGATATGTCATCTGCCAAAATCAGTCTTATCTGCGCAAGTATTAGCCCCACCCGCCCACCCCTATTTCCTCAGAGGATATGTCATCTGCCAAAATCAGTCTTACCTGAGCAAGTACTAGCCCCGCCCACCCACCCTCTATTTTCTCAGAGGGTATGACGTTTGACAAAATCAGTCTTATTTGAGCAAGTACTAGCCCCGCCCACCCGCCCTCTATTTTCTCAGAGGATATCACGTTTACCAAAATCAGTCTTATCTGCGCAAGTATTAGTCCCGCCCACCCGCCCTCTATTTTCTCAGAGGATATGTCATCTGCTAAAATCAGTCTTATCTGCGCAAGTATTAGCCCCACCCGCCCACCCCTGTTTCCTCAGAGGATATGTTGTCTGCCAAAATCAATCTTATCTGAACAAGTACTAGCCCCGCCCACCCGCCCTCTATTTTCTCAGAGGATGTGTCATCTGCCAAAATCAGTCTTATCTGAGCAAGTACTAGCCCCGCCCACCCACCCTCTATTTTCTCAGAGGGTATGACGTTTGACAAAATCAGTCTTATCTTACCAAGTACTAGCCCCGCCCGCCCACCCCTCAGAGGATGTCATTTGCCAAAATAAGACTTATCCTAGCAAGTACTACCCTCTGAGAAAATAAAGGGCGAGTCGGCGGGGTTAGTACTTGGTAAGATAAGACTCATTTTGGCAGATGACATATCCTCTAAGAAAGTAAAGGGTGGGTGGGGAGGGCTAGTACTTGCTCAGATAAGACTGATTTTGGCAGATGACATATCTTCTGAGAAAATAGGGGGCGGGTGGGCAGGGCTAGTACTTGGCAAGATAAGACTGATTTTGGCAAATGACATATCCTCTAAGTAAAGGGGGTGAGTGGGGGGGGGGGGGTAGTACTTGGTAAGATAAGACTCATTTTGGCAGATGACATATCCTCTAAGAAAGTAAAGGGTGGGTGGGCGGGGCGAGTACTTGCTCTGATAAGACTGACTTTCTCAGATGACATATCTTCTGAAAAAATAGGGGGCGGGTGGGCGGGGCTAGTTACTTGGTAAGATACGACTGATTTTGGCAATGACATATCCTCTAAGTAAAGGGTGGGTGGGCGGGCGAGTACTTGCTCTGATAAGACTGACTTTGGCAGATGACATATCTTCTGAAAAAATAGGGGGCGGGTGGGCGGGGCTAGTTACTTGGTAAGATATGACTGATTTTGGCAAATGACATATCCTCTAACTAAGTAAAGGGTGGGTGGGGGGGCTAGTACTTGGTCAGATAAGACTGACTTTGGCAGATGACATATCTTCTGAAAAAACAGGGGGCGGTTGGGCGGGGCTAGTTACTTGGTAAGATACGACTGATTTTGGCAAATGAAACATACCCTGTAAGAAAATAAAGGGTGGGTGGGCGGGTCGAGTACTTGCTAAGATAAGACTTATTTGGGCAATGTTGATGACGTCATCACAAAATTCTGTAAAGTAAAAACTCAACTCAAAAATGCTGGATATGTTTCACCGTGCTGTATATTGAAACAGCTTTCGACCAATTTTTCAAATTTAATTAAGATTTTTCGGTATTAAATTCCATAATTTTACACCAAGTCAGTAGCACTAAAAATTATTTTGGTCGACCCACACAAAAATAAGCCGCTGCGAGCACAAAAACGATGCCGCCGCATGACAAAGAAGCCATAATTCAGTCCGACTCGGACGTTAAGCACCTTTTCCACAAAATTTACGATGAGTGCTATGGGAACGACCGCACAAATTCACCTCATTAACTCCAACCAACAGTTGAATCATTTGAGAATGCAGAATTATAAACAAATTTGATTTATCAACATTGCGCTTCCGTCGTCATATAAATAAATTAAACTGATACGAGAAAGTCTCAATTTCGATATCTTTGACACAGTATTTTTATCCGAGTGTGTACGTGACTGCATGTTCGTTAACCCCTCAGGAACATAAATATGTCAAGACTAGACATGTTTATGCGTTCTCAGCTGGTTCAAATATTTGGACGAGACGGCGAAGACAAAGAGACCTAGCCTGAGCGAGAAGGTAAGTGGCAGCAGGATGCAGACGGTCGTAAAAACGACAATGAAGTCGTGTGGGAAAACAGACGAAGGTAAGGGCAGGAGGTCGCGGGACGAAAATAACTCCAGCTCCCCTCCGGGTATAAATCTGTCTGTGGGAATGCGATGAGATCATTCGGAAGTGCATACTGCGCAGAGAACGTTCGTCGGGAAATAATGTTGGTACAAAGGCTGCTTCACACTACTAAATTAATTTTGGTAATACTATTGAATATGGAAAAATCACACTACCAACAATCTAAACCTTTATTACCACACGTGAGCTAGTACACAACAATACAGTCGCCACTTCTACACTTACTTCTCTATTCCAGAGGTACTTGGGGCCGGTAGATTTGTCGGTGCTCTACAAAAAAAAAAGTAACTTTTTGTTGACACCCCAAACTTAACTTACGTTTGCACCACCACGATATTCTCCTGATTCTTGAAACACCGCCATAAACCATACCTCGTCTCCCAGTCCTCAAAGAACAACTCAGGCTTATTCCAAAGCACGTGGTGTTGGGCGTACTTATACTTGAGCATCAAGGGCGGGTTTAAATGAGGGGCGAAGTTCGCCCGTCTGTCAACAATAGTCTCTACGTAGTCGTAGAAAACTTCAGCTCTGTGGATGTAGCAGATCAATGACATTAAAGAGACCACGGTGGCGTGAAGGCGGTGAGCATGAGTCATCTGTATGTTTTTACTATCGAGGGCTGCGTCTTGGAGGGCCATGGAAAGACACACCCCGGCAGCCGCAGTGTATGCGCACGGGATCTCCACCATGAAAAGCGCGATGCTGATGTAGGTATTCTCCAAATACAGTCTAGAAAAAGCGACAAAGTGGTCGTAAGGCACTCTCTATCGAAATACTTGTGAACTCCGTGGGTCAGCATCGAGTCGACCGTCGTCTTATGCAAAGCCTCCCTGTACCTCTGGAACAACGCCTTATCCGCTTTCGAGAACTGGTTCAAAACCAAGTTGTAGCGCGAGTTCCTCAAGAAAATCCTCGGCGAGTCGAAAATCAGCTTGTTCTTGCACCTATCCACCAAGCTGTGTAGTATCCGGTGACCCAGCAGACTATACAGCAAGTTATTCGACGAAATCGTCTTCAAAACTGACGGTAGAACTCGCTCGGAGAGCGGCCGCTTCGGCGCTCTCTCGGTGTACAAGTTGGCGATGTGTTCCAAAAGACTGCCGAAAGTGAGGAGGTTGTCGTCTGAGATTCGCTCGGTTGCCACCACGTTCAACATCCAGCAGATCTGGTAAGAGCGACTGTGACGTGACGGTTACCAATTGGGAACATTACCATGAAGAGCAGCTGGTTGTCGTCGAAATTCGGGCCCATGGCTCGCAGACAGGTCTCTAGACCTTTCTCCAACGACTCGTAGTTGTAGTGGTGGTTGTCTTCGGGGGTCAAGCTGCTGTAGTACATTTCCAGGAACTTGTTCAGCAAACCCTCGTCGATCCATTTCCAGTGCTGCGCGTCGGCGATGTCGAAAAGGACTTGCAGGATTTGTCGGGACGTTAAAGGGTTGGTTAGAGTGGTGTTCTCGATCAGAGCTAGGCGGAACGTTAAAGTGGCAGACCAATTTAGTAACGAAGCGTCACTAAGTTTGTCCGCGCCTTACTTACAGATGATCTCGTTGATGGATTCGTAGCGGTGCTTGTCGTCGGTGCTCCCCAACACCCTTTCGATAAGATTCGAACAAAAGTACTCAACTTCCCAGATGTTGGCTTCCTCGAAGAACGTCATCACCGCGTTAAAAACGATCGAGTAGTACACCGGGACTAGGAACATCAGCAACCTATCGAACGTCTTAATCGACTTCCGCGCCTGCCTCCTACAACACACTGAGTCACTTTGAGTCCTCCAATCCAGAGCGCGCCCCTTGCCTTCTAAACCACTGCAACAACCCGTTCTCCGTGCGCAGCCTCAACAAGAAATGGTGGATGCAACTAAGCGCCGCCCACACCATGTGTATGGCGAACTCCGCCCCGATTTTGCTGATCGTGGTCATGGCGATCAAGGCGTCCAAGATGCGCACCCCTTGCAGTCGGTTCAAGTGCACCCGGTACGAATCCTGCATGTGCGTCAGACAACACTCCGTCAGCTCCTGCTTGAGGACCTCGACCTGCGCGTTCTTCAACTTCTTCACGCCCAGATTAGTGTGCGCGGACGACATCCGCCGAGTGTCCAACTGCAGCGGCGCTGGGGAAAAATTAACCTCGGGCTCGGTCTAAACCACGTCCTTACCCAGCGATCCGATCGACGGGGTGGCGAAAACTTTGCGCAAACCCTCCGTCGATTTCAGATTCGACATCCTCGCCGTGGCGAGGGTCACGTGAGATGATAGCGCTGTCTGAGGTTGATTCCGCATCTTGGTAGATTGTTAAGGTATCATGAGGAATTTTTTGCGAACATTGGCCGAACGTCAACGCGACTTTGACAAGGCGACAATAACAACAACGATAATAATAATGCTGATTTTATTATTCCACACGTAATACGATTAAAGTAGGTGGTTTATTCCACCATCATCACCACGACGTCTTTGGTGGTCCTGAAGCACCGCCACAGTCCGTAGCGGGTTTCCCACGGTTCGAAGAACATGTGGGGTTCGTTCCAGAGCAAGTGGTGGCGCGCGTACCGGTATTGGATCTGCAGGGGCGGGTTCAAGTGAGGCGCGAAGTCTGACCTCTTGTCGAGGATTTTCTCCACGTAGTCGTAGAAGACGCAAGCTTTGTGGATGTAACAAATGAGGGACATGAGGGAGATGACTGTCGCGTGGATGCGGTTAGAGTGCTCCATGCTCATGCTACCGTTCATGAGGGCGGCGTCCTGGAGGGCCATGGAGAGGCAAGCGCCGGCTGCAGCCGTGTAAGCGCATGGGATCTCCACAAGGAAAAGAGCAATCGAAAGGTAGATGTGTTCGATGTAGACCCTATAAAGGTGGTGGTAAGTAACAACGTGACGTTAGAATACAGCGTACATGCTAATTCCATGAGTGAGTACCGACGCGATCGTCGTCTGGTGAATGGTCTCTCTATACCGCTGAAACAACAACTTATCGGAGTGTCTGTACTGATTTACGACCAAGTTGTAGTGCGAACTCCTCAGGAACACCCGCGGTGTGTTGAACTTAACCTTGTTGTTGGATCTGTCGATCAAATTCTGTAAGATGCGATGACCCAAAAGACTGAACAGCAAGTTCTTGGACGATATGACTTTGAGGACCGCCGGTAGCACGTGTTCGGACAGCGGTCGCCTGGCCAGTTTTCTCGTGTATAAGGCGGCGACGTGCTCCAACACGTTCCCGAATTTCATGATGTTATCATGTGGAATGCTTTCTTCCATCACGGCGTCCAACATCCAACTCATCTACCGAAGTCCGATTACCTCGACGACTAATAACACAATCAATTTTACCACGAACACTTGCTGCTTTTCCGAAAGGTGGAAACTCATAGCGCTCAAACACTCCTCTAGGATCTTCTCCAGAGACTCATAGTTGTAGTCGTGCGATTCCTCAGGAGTGATACTGGCGTAGTACATATCCAGGATCCTGTCCAGAAGCCTGTTGTTGAGCCAGGACCACTTATCGATTTCTCCGATGTCCAACAAGACTTTGAGGATCTGGCGCGAAGTGATCGTGTTTGTGATCGTATTAGTTTCGGCTAAACCTGCAACGACGTCAAAACGCCAATACTCTTGTTCTACTCACTAATGATCTCCATGATGGATTCCGGCCTGTCCCGGTCTTCCCCATGGACGAGGACCCGTTGTAAAAGGTTCGAACAGAAGTATTCGATGTCCCAGAGACTGGCCTCTTCCAGGAAAGTCACCACGGATGTAAAAATAAGCGAGTATTGTTTCGGCGCCAGGAATTTCAGCAGCTTGTCGTAGATCTTGATGGACTTTCTCGCCTGGCGTCTACAAGCCGCAAGTTCAACTCAACTCAATTCAACACAAAGGTGACACTTGTTAATGAGTTGTTGATGGAAATGAAATTTTATTAAGAGTGTTAATTTTATATTGGAACAGTTGTTATGTAAAAAAAAAAAAAATAATTATTATAAATAAATGATTAACAAAAGTTAATTTTCCAATTTTCTAATAAAAAGAAGTAAAAGTAAAAACCAGAAATCACAACAGGTTATGGGCCCAGGGTACTCGCAAGTACTGAGGCAGTAAAGCTAGAAGAAGAAATTTTAGAACCTTAACGAGAGAAATAAAACTCGAAAAGGAAGAAAACGTATTTGACAGTGACATAAGAAGAAAAAAAAATAAAATAATGGCGTTGACAGAAGAGGTGAATTTAATAGAAAAGCTCAAAGATGAAACCACGTATCAGTTGTGGAAATTTCAAATAGTAGTAACATTTAAGGCGTATGATCTGTTTGGAATAGTAAATGGAGACAAGCTTCTATCTAGTGTGGAAAAGGAGGAAGATAAAACTAAATGGGTGAGAAATGATGCAAAAGCGCAAAAACTAATTGTGACGTCAATAGACAAAAAGTACATGATGCACATTATGGACTGCACCACCTCCAAAGAAATGTTCGAAAAAATCAAAAATATTTTTGAAAGAAGCACTTCAGAACAAATATGTAATTTGCTGCAAGAGTTCTACAGCTATACATTTGGAAAAGGTACTGATATGGCTACTCACATTAGCAAAATAGAGAGTATTGCACACAAATTAAAAAGTCTAAATCAAACAGTTGATGACAACATATGTTAATGTCAAAAATACTGTCATCTCTACCTCAAAGTTATGGTTTCTTCAGGACTGCCTGGGAATCTACTCAAGATAATGAGAAAACCTTACCAAAATTGATAGCAAGACTACTATCCGAAGAAAACCGTAGCAAGGAAAGTGAGAGAGATATTGCATTTAAAAGTTCAGAGAGATTTTGTAAATATTGTAAAAGTAGTTCGCATGATACAAGATTTTGCCGAAAATGGAAAGAAAAGGGTGCTGGCGAAGTAAAATGTTTTAAGTGTGGATGCTTTGGACATATTGCAAATAACTGTCCCAAAAAGACAAATAACCAATGCAAGATTTGCAAGAAAACAAACCATAAAGAGCAAGACTGTTTTTTTAGAGATAAGACAAAATCATTAGAAAAAAAGAAGATAGCCTTTCTTACAGAAGACAGAAGATTGACAACGCAAGATTTTATAGTTGATTCAGGATGTTCATCCCACATGGTCAACTCGAAAGTGATGTTTACAGCATTAGAAAATATCGAAAGTAGCATACAAGTTGCAAGGAAAGTAAGGAAGAGAGTTATCTTGCAGAAAATACTTCAGTAAAAGATTGGCATAGAAAGCTAGGACATTTGGGAACAAAGAATATAAAAAGATTAATAGATCTATCGACAGGCATGAAACTGAATAAAAAGAAGTGTCAAATGGGTTTCTGTGAAGTCTGCATGGAAGCAAAGCAAACAAGACTCCCTTTTAATACAACGAGACAGAGGGCAAGAAGACCACTAGAAATTCTACATACAGATGTATGCGGCCCAATCGATCCTGAAACTTGGGATGGAAAACGATACATTTTAACAGTGTTAGATGATTATACTCATTATTGTAGAATTTTTCTATTGAAGTATAAGAGTGAAGTATCAGAACATTTAAAAGATTTTATTAGTAAAGCAGAAGCTTATCATAATCAAAAGGTGGTAAAAATACGTTGTGACAATGGTGGTGAATATACGTCATCGAATTTTAAACTCTGGACAAAAAATAAAGGCATTGTTCTGGATTATTCTATACCCCATAGTCCACAACTAAATGGAAAAGCAGAAAGATTAAATAGAACCTTATTGGAAAAGGCAAGAGCGATGATATTTGACAGCAAGCTAAGTAAAGATTTTTGGGGCGAAGCTGCATATGTAGCAGCGTATCTGTTAAATCGAAGTCCTACAGAAGCAATAGACAAAACACCAATAGAATACTGGACCAAAATGAAACCTGATCTGTCCAGATTACAAATATTTGGTTCTGTAGCATATGCAAAGACACTGGGAAATTTACACAAACTTGACCCTAGAAGTAAAAGGTATCTTTTTGTAGGATATGCACCAAATGGTTACCGCTTATGGGATGAAAAATCTAAGGAAATAAAAATACACCGAGATGTTATCTTCAATGAACCAGGTAGTCAATCTTTGGCTGATTACAGAAGAACAAGCAAAATAAATGTTATAGAAAGCGACGAAGAAAATCAGGAACAGAATGCAGAACTAGAAGAAAACAATACAGGTGAAAATTCAGAAACCGAAACTGAATATGAACAAGACATTAGACAAAAACCAAATCAAATAGAAGTACAAAATATAATTTTGGGAGAAGGAGAAGGCATCACAGAATCAAGAAGAGGAGAAGGCATCACAGAATCAAGAAGAGGAGAAGGCATCGCAGAAACAAGAAGTGGAAGAAAATTAAAACAATCTGTAAAACTTAAAGATTATATTGTAAACTTTGTTGAAGAAGAAGCGTTATTGACTTATGAAGAAGCAGTCAAGGGACCAGAAAAGGACAAATGGCTTGAGGCTATACGTGAAGAAAAAGAATCCCTGAATAAAAATCTTACATGGAGCTACGTGAATATAAATGAAGTAGACAAACATCGCATTCTGACAAGCAAGTGGGTATTCAAAGTTAAAGATAATGGAAAATATAGAGCAAGGTTGGTAGTAAGAGGGTGCCAACAACATAAGGGAATAGATTACAACGAAACATTCAGTCCAGTTGTGAACATAAGCTCAGTAAGAATAATGTTAGCACTGGCTGCCAAGTATAATATGTCAGTTACCAAATTTGACGTAAAAACAGCATTTTTGTATGGAAGTATTTCAGAAGAAATTTTTATGCATGTACCAGAGGGGTTCAAATGTGAACAAACTGAAAACAAAGTGTGTAAATTGTCGAAATCGCTATATGGCCTAAAACAAGCTCCTATGAAATGGAATGAACGTTTTACTACATCTTTAAAACTGAATGGTTTAAAACCACTGATTAGTGATCAATGTTTATTTACGAATATAGAAAAGACCATGTTATTAGCAATCTTTGTAGATGACGGATTATTGATCAGCAAATGTGAAGAAGAAATGAAATCGTTATTGAAAAATCTTTAAACCGAATTTGAAATGACAAGTGAAAAAATTCCTAATAGGTTTTTAGGAATTAGTATTCAAAAACATGATGGAAAAGTTATACTTTCACAACAAGATTATGTACAAGCAACTTTAGAAAAATTTAATATGCAAAACTCCAAACCTGTACCTACGCCCATGGTCAAACAAGATATAAGTTCAGAAGATAAAATGGTAAAAATTAATTATCCATTCAGAGAAGCTGTTGGAAGTTTATTATATTTAAACAACAAGACCAGACCAGACATATCATATGCAGTGAATTACTGTAGTAGAAAAATGGAAAATTTTTCAAATCAAGACATTGTAACAGTAAAAAGAGTGTTTCGCTATTTAATATCTACAAAAAATGAGGGACTGTGCTACGATGGCCAAAACAGTGAGAAATTTATTGCCTATTGTGATTCAGATTTTGCAGGGGACACTGAAACACGCAGAAGTACAACAGGGTACATAATATTTTTTTGTGGTGGACCCATATCGTGGTGTTCCAGGAAACAGCCAATAGTTTCACTTTCAAGCACAGAAGCTGAGTATATATCTGCTGCAGAATGTGTTAAACAACTTCTTTACCTCAAATCTCTAATTGATGAACTTACCAATGGTGAAGTGAAGATAGATTTGTACGTTGATAATCAGAGTGCAATCTCAATAGTGAAAACCGGACAGTTCAATCGACGGAGCAAGCACATAGATGTAAGATTTCATTTTATAAATGAAAAGGTGCGAGAAGGTATTATAAACATAAAGTATTGTTCAACTGAAAAACAAATCGCCGACATATTTACCAAACCTCTTGGAAACATTAAATTTGAAAACCTGAAGGAACAATTTATGTCAAGCATCAATTAATAAAATTTGGAGAAGGTGTTAATGAGTTGTTGATGGAAATGAAATTTTATTAAGAGTGTTAATTTTATATTGGAACAGTTGCTATGTAAAAAAAAAAAATAATTATTATAAATAAATGATTAACAAAAGTTAATTTTCCAATTTTCTAATAAAAAGAAGTAAAAGTAAAAACCAGAAATCACAACAACACTTGCCTTCTGACCCACTGCATGAGCCCGCCTTTCGACTTGAGTCTCAACAAAAAGTGGTGGATGCAGCTGAGAGCCGCCCACACCATATGCATAGCCAACTCCGTCTCGATCTGATCAACAGTGGCCAGCACCACCATCGTGTGCAGGATTCGCAACCCTGGAAAAACTCAGACTCTCTAAGTACTCTCGGATCTTCGTACCTTTCACCCGACTCAAGTGAATCCTGTATGAGTCCTGCATGTGCGTGAGACAGCACTCGACCAGTTGCTTCCCCAAGAAGTCGATTTCGCTCTCCTGCAGAGCGCTCCGGTTGTTGCCGATTTTCATACAAGCGACTTTCGTCCTAGCGGCTTGGAGAGCTGCATTTACGAGTTAATAGTGACTTTTGGAAAAAAGAACACTTGTTTACTCTTCTTCAACCGTGTCATGGAAGACGTGGCGAAGATCTGCTGCACGTTCACTTCGGCGGACGAGGGTTTCCCCCGCAGCTGGGGGTTGGACGTGAACACCTGCTGCTCGTTCATGTTGGATTTGGTCAGACACTGAGAATTTTGGACCGAACAACAACATTGTCACTCTGACAAGGGACGCGGGACAACAGTTGCCGGGTTACAGACGCGATTTTATTAGATGTCGAAGTCGTCGTAGTTTTCCAGGGGGAGGTTTATGAAGTTTCGTTTTTTGACGACCATGCTCTTTTTTCGGGCCTTGAAACACCTCCACAGACCGTAGCGGATTTTCCAGTCTTCGAAGAATAGCTGCGGGTCGTCCCATAGAATGTGGTGTTGGGCGTAGCTGTAGGTGCTCTTCAAAGGTGGGTTTAGATGTGGTGCTAAAGTCGCCCTTTTCTCGACAATGCTGCCGACGTAGTCGTAGAGAACGACGGCGTCGTGGACGTAGCAGATTAGAGATATTACGGAGATTACTATAGCGTGAATGCGATGAGAGTAGTGAGGCGGGAGGGTTTTATCAGTGCGGGCTAGTTCTTGAAGGGTTAGTACTAGGCAAATTCCGGATGCGGCGGTGTAACCGCAAGGAATTTCTACCATGAATAAACTGATACAAATGTAAAGCAGCTCCAGATAAAGCCTGGAAAATAGTAGAGGAGTGACTAGGAGTTAGAAGAGTCGCGAGGTATACTTATGGACTCCGTGCATCATTACGCATTTGATTGCCACCTCGTGTAATTTGTGTCTGTAACGTTGAAACATCAACTTGTCTGCAGTCGAGTATTTATTAATGATGATGTCGTACTTCGTGTGTCTGAGAAATATTTTAGGCACTTCAAACTGCCATTTGTTACCACATCGATCCACGAAGCTTTGCAAAAGTCGGAGACCCAATTGGCTATAGATCACCTTTTTCGAACACATGGTTTTAACAATGGGTGGTAGCGTCAGGTCGGACAAGGGATGATGTGCCCCTCTTTTAGTGTACATCAAGTGTATACTTTCCAACAATTCCCCGTAGCGTAGTAGGTTTTCGCCCCCTATTCTCTCATTCAAAACCGGTTTGAACATCACGTTCACCTACCAACCGACAATAATCAAGTGTACAAGTCCACGAGTCGTGTTACCATGCACCGAAGATGTTTCTCTCCGACGTACTGCGACATCGCTTGCAAGCACGCCGCCAAACTACTCTCCAATCCTTCATAAAGCCCGTGATTCTCCTCCGGCAGCAAACTAAGAACATAAATCTCGATAATCCTCGTCAGGATCCTCCCATCCATCCACTCCCACTTCACAGAGTTGCCTAGAGTCACCAAAACTTGGACTATCTCTCGACACGTCATCAAACTCGTGAGCGTCGAATCCTCAACCAAAGCTACAACAACACACTAAACAAACACTCCGACCCCTACTCACAAACAATCTCGAGCAGAGAGGTATAAACACTCTCCTCGTCCGCGTACTCCAACACTCTTCGGAACAAATGCGAGCAAAAGTACTCGATCTCCCACAAATCCGCTTCCTCCAAGAAGATCATGATCGCGCTGAACACAGTATCGTAGTGCGTCGGAGTGAGAAACTGCAGCAATTTATCGTACGTCCTGACAGCTTTTCGAGCCTGCCTCCTAAAACACGAGTCCGTCATGGTCAACCACCACTCAAAACTACCATCTGCCTTTTGAACCACTCCATACACCCTTTCTCAGTTCGTAATCTCACGAAGAAGTGGTGCATACAACTGAGGATAGCCCAAGTCAAATGGGTGGCGTGATCCGCGTCGATTTTATTGATGGGACAACTCTGGACAATAGTGTCGATGATGGTCAACCCTGGAAGGAATCGTCACCCGAGAAATTTGATTCAATTCAAGGTTGTACCATTGTTTAAGTATATTATAGTTGGACAACCTATACGGACAATCACTTTCCCATGTAGAAAAGAATGAATATATATTTTACATCTCACTCGCTTCACTATGAATGAAGTGGCGGTACCTTACGAAAGGGGGTAAAAATAGTCCGTAAGCACGTGATGTCGATAAGGTAGTAAACGGACGTATTAATCACTACATTGTACGGGGAGCAGTCACAAAATAAGCAAACGTACGTGTTGAAGACTTTACTGTAATATATGTATATGTAGTGCATACCTGTTTCAAGGTTAAGGTAACAAAAATTTAACATTATCGCGGTATACCTATTATCCATGAACTGCATGGCTAACAAATATGCGTCCCTTAGTCCACTTTAAAGGTACGAAATTAAACGACCACTACTTTAATTAATAAGTAACAAGTCATCTAAATTGCCTCCAGAATAACTATGAGTTATCATCAAACTATGAACACCAAATTAATTCAATATGAACATCTTCTTACGTATTTTTTTCATTAGCAGTAGTCAAATCATTAAATACATAGGTATTATCTTTGAAACTAAAATGCATTTTATCCTAAGATTGTATCACAAAATATTCATCACCATTTAAATATATACGATTTAGACATCAAGAAATAAATTTAAAATTGCAAAAATTATACTAAAACAGTCTTAAATGTGTCTTGTATGTACGTGCTTATCAGTATGTAGGCATTTTAACGCACAGCAATAATCGTTCTTTATGAGTAATGACTGATGACTACTGTGACACAGTAAATCCTCGAAATCGAAAATTTAAAACACTAAAAAATATGGGAAAATTGTAAAATCGAGAAATCGAAACATAAAAGAATCAAAAAAATAAAAATTGGAAAATCTAAAATTTAAAAATCGAGAAATTGAAAATCGAAAAATAAAAAAAAATTGGACAATCGAAAATTTAAAAATTCCGAAAATTGAAAAATCGAAATATAGAAGAACTGAAAACTCAAAAAATCGAAAAAAATTAATAATTTAAAAATTCAAAAGTTAAAATTGAGAAATCGAAAAACTGAAAAATCACAAAATTGAACGAAATATCAAAAAATTAGGAAATTAACAAATTGAGAAACAGAAAAGTCAAAAAAGCAGAGTCTAAAAATCGCAAACTTAAAAAATCCAAAAATTGGAAAACAAAAACCTAAATAATAGAAAAATTGAAGAACTGAAGAACTGAAAAATCGAAACTTTAGGAAGTGTAGAAATGGGAATATAAAAAAATAGATTAATTGAGAAATCCGAAGACTAAAAAATCAGAAACGTCAAAATTTGAAAAATAAAAAAATATTGAAGAACTGAAAAATCGAAAAATCGAAAATTTAAAACATTGAAAAGTTAAAATATCCTAAAACTGAAAAATGGAGAAATCCAAACATCAAAAAATCAAAAAAAAAAAATTAAATTTAAAAATCGAAAGACTGAAAAATCAACGAATCGAGAAGTCGAATTGGACAATTGAAAAATCGGATAAACCAAAAATCGAAACATCGAAAAATCGAGAAACCGAAAAGCAAAAAATCGAAAAACCGACAAATCGAAAAATCGAAACTTTGTAAAATTCAAAAATTGAGACATCGAGAAATCGAAAAATCAAAAGACAAAAAAATCGAGGAGTCGAAAAATGGAGAAGTCGAAAAATCAAAAAATTGAGAAACCGAAATAGGCCAAAATCGAAAAATCGAAAACTTAAATATGGAAAAATTGATAAAGCGAGAGATTGAATAATCAAAACATCGAAACATCCGAATCTCAATAAATTGAGATCTCAAAAAACTTAAAAATTCGGAAATTTAAAAAATTAAAATATAGAACTGGAAACTCGAGAAACCGAAAAATCTAGAAATTTAAAAATTCAAATATGGAAAAGTTGAAAAATTGAGAAATTGAAATAAAAAACAAAAAACTGAAAATCCAAAAATTAAAAATAGAAAAATCTTGAAGTCGAAAAATGAAAGAATCGAAGTATTGAAAAATATCAAAACTGAAAGAAATATCCAAAAATTGAGAAATCGACAAACCAATAAAGCGAAGTCGAAGAATTGAAGAACTGAAAAATCGAAACTTTGAGAAGTGGGAAAATCAGAAATAGATTAATTGAGAAATCAGAAAACTGAAAATTTAACGCAAAAATTTGAAAAATTGAAAAATCGGGACATTGAAAAATTGGAAAATCCAGAAATTGAAAAGCTCAAAAGAAAAAAATCGAAAAACCGAAAAACCCAAAAATCGAAACATCGAACTTCGAGAAATCGAAAAATCGGAGGATCGAGAAATTGAGGAGTCGGAAGCCGAAAAGGAAAGTTAAAAATTGAAAAATTGAGAAATTGAACAATCAAAACAACGAAACATCTGAATTCGATAAATTGAGAAAACAAAAAATTGAATAGTCGAAAAATTTTAGAAAAGAAAAACTGGAAAATCGAAAATTAAAATTAAAAAAATCGAAAAATTGAAAAATTGAAATATAGAAGAACTGAAAACTCGAGATATCGAAAAACCTAGAATTTAAAAAAATGAAATATTAAAACATCGAAAAGTTTAAAAATTGAGAAATCGAAGCATTAAACAGTCGCAGAATTGAAAAATCTAAAGTTTACAATAAATTGAAAATCCAAAAAGTAAAAAATCGAGAAATCAAAAAAAATCCATCAATTTAAAAATCGAAAAGTCGAAAAATTGAAATATTGAAAAATCTCATAACTGAAAGAAATATTCAAAAAATTGAGAAATTAAAAAATTGGAAAACTGAGAAATCGAAAATCTAAAAAAGCAAAATTGAAAAATCGTAATCTTAAAAAATCGAAAAATTGAAGAATTGAAGATGTGAAAAATCTAAACTTTAGGAAGTCCAGAAATGGACAAATAAAAAAAAATACTTTAGAAATCGGCAAACTGAAAATTTAGAAACGTGAAAATTTGAAAAATTGAAAAATCGAAATATTTAAAAACCGTAAAATTGAAAAGGCAAAAATTGAGAAATCGTATCATTGAAACATCGAAAGATTGAGAAATCGAAAAATAAAAAAATCAAGAAATAGAAAATTTAAAGAATGGAGGAATCAGAAAAGCCCAAAATTGAAATATTGAAAAATTAAGACATTTAAAGTCGAAAAATCGAGAAATCGACAAGCCGAAAAATCCCAATAGCGTATTTAGGTATAAATCACAAGATCAGGACTATTCTACTTTTTAAAATTTAAATAACATTATAAATTGGAAAATGTTGATTTTTTTTTCCAAAAATCTTGACGTCTAAGCTGAAAACTCGACACGGATGCATAAACCGTAAACGGGGCGAAACTACAATTTTACAATTGTAAAATTTGACAAATTTTGGAGAGTGTAATTTGATAATACAATTTGAAATGTAAATTTTGTCATTCGGGAACATTATGTATTAAATCGTTAAGATGTTCAAGAACTTTGTTCACTTATTCGTTGTAGAGTCCAATGGTCGAAATGGGTTAGTTCTTCGTAGTGGATGTGTATCAGATCAACTCTAACGAATATCGGTTTATAGATAAATCACTTAAAGCCGATATTGGCCTGAGTGTGCTTTGGTCTGTAGATCAAACAAGTTCTCAGGTGACGAAAAATTGCATGTGGAGGGAGACTTCGGATTACAAATCGTGCCAAGAAAGACATATTTGGGATAATATATATAAAATCGAACAGACAAAATAAAGCTTCAAACATGATTATTTTTTTAATAAAATTCTGAAGTTTATAAACTGCACATTTTATTTATTTATTTATTTATTTTATCTTGTTTTCGAACTATAATAAACATTTTTGTAACACCACGATTCTAAATTTTACTTAAAATCTTGTTTTACTTTAATCTTGTAAAACTAAACAATTATACCAGTTTAAAAACCCTTGCAAAGTTTCTGTCAGTCTTCAGATATAGTCAAATAAAAATAGGAGTCAAATGCATTTAAATTCAATTCTTTCGTATCACGTTACAACGCGTTGCTTCATATTTTTTATGTCAAGCATATTTTCAGATTTTGTACGTATATGTTTATACACATTACTGTTTACGGAACAATGTTAATTATGGATTTATGGATAACTCCTCGTATAAGAGCAGAGTGAAGGGTGTTTGCCTTTGCTAATGTTTGATGGCGCCATCTGATGTAGAGTAAAATAAACCTAATACGTTGGCTCACTGTAGTGAAAATGTGCGTTGACGAAAAATTTGTCCACGCCCCCTGGATTCCTTGTCCTAAAGCTCACTATTTCGGCCAGAGAACATAGAGAAGCGTCATAGTTTAAATTAAATGACGGTTGAGGACTCCTCGACTTATGTTGGCAACAGTGTTTGTTATGTTGACACTAGATTTACCAGAATATTACGAATTACAGTTCGTCGTCTGAGAACTTGTTTGATCTACAGACCAGAGCGCACTCAGGCCAATGTCGACTCTAAGCGTTCGGAAACGATTTGATTCATAAGCCATGATCCGTGATCTGTTACACATTCTAACCGAAACTCAGTTTGTCGAAATTTTAGTTTGGAGACTTTTCACTTTACTCCTATTTACTATTCAATTTTTGGATTTTACAATTTCTCAATTTTTAAATTTCTTGGTTTTCAGTTTTTTTCTTCAATTTTACGATTTTTAAATATTTCGATTTTTCAATTTTTGACTTTTATAAACTTTTTATTTGTCGATTTTTCAATGAATTGATTTTTCAAGTTTTTTGGTTTTTCAATTTTTCTATTTTTTCAGGTTTAGATTTTTCAACTTCATTTTTTTGATTTTTCCATTTCTCAATTTTTTAATTTTGGGATTTTTCAGTTTTTCGTTTCGTCAGTTTTTCTTTCATTTTTCAGTTTTTCGATATTTCAGTTTTGGGATTTTTCAATGTTTCTGTTCTTCGACTTTTTCATTTTTGACTTCTGGATTTTTCGATTTGTCGACTTTTTACTATTTCGATTTTTAAATTTTAGATTTCTTAGTTTTTAGGTATTTTAATTTTTCGATTTCTCGATTTTTCATTTCAGCTCTTCCATATTTCAATTGTTCAAATGTTTCGATTTCTTAATCTTTCGATTTTTCGATTTTTAAATTTTAAATTGTTCAGTTTTTGATATTTTAATTTTTCAATACTTAAAATTTTAGATTTTTCGAATTCTCGATTTTTCATTTCAGTTCTTCGATATTTCAGTTTTTCAAGTTTTCGAATTTTTTAAATGTTTTGATTTCTTAATTTATCGATTTTTCGACTTCCCTGTTTTAGATTTTCTGTTTTTCAACTGCCGTTTTTTAAAATTTTCGATTTTTCAAATTTGACATTTATAAACTGTCAATTTTTCGATTTTTCAATTAATCGATGTTTTGATTTTCCCATTTCTTACTTTCGAGGGTTTTGATGGTCCTGTTCTTCAATTCTTTAATTTTTCGATTTTTCAGGTTTTTGATTTTTCATTTTTCAGTTTTTTTAAGGTTTAGATTTTTCGACTTCCCTTTTTGCATTTTTCGATTGCTTAATTTTTCGACCTTTAAGGTCTCAGTTTTTGGATATTTCAGTTTTCAGATTTTTCTTTCATTTTTCAGTTTTTCGATATTTTCAGTTTTGGGATTTTTCAATATTTCGAAATTTCGATTCTTCGACTTTTCGAATTTTTGGCTTCTGGAGTTTTCGATGTGTCGATTTTTTTACTTTTTCGATTTTTCAATTTTTCGGATGCTTAATCTTTCGATTTTTCGACTTCCCTGTTTTAGATTTTCTGTTTTTCAATTGCCGTTTTTTCAAATTTTGGATTTTTCATTTTTTCAAATTTGACATTTTGACTGTCAATTTTTCGAATTTTCAATTAATCGATGTTTTAATGTTCCCATTTCTTGACTTTCGAGGGTTTCGATTTTCCTGTTCTTCAATTCTTTAATTTTTCGATTTTTCAAGTTTTTGATTTTTCATTTTTAGTTTTTTTAAGGTTTCGATTTTTCGACTTCACTTTTTGGATTTTTCAACTTTTTGGGTTCTCAGTTTTTGTATATATCAGTTTTACTCTTTCGATTTTTAAATTTTATCGACAAATTGAGAAATCGAAAAGTCGAGAACTGGAAGTCGGATAATCGAAAATTTGGAAAATTGAAAAATGGAAAAACGATAACACGAAAATTCAAAACATTTAATTGAAAAACTGAAAAATCGAACCACCGAAAAGTAAAAAATTGAAAAATGGAATAATAAAAAAATCGATTAATTGAGAAATTAGGAAATCGTAAAAATGAACATTTAGAAACGTTATAAACCGAAAAATTGAAAAATCGAGAAATGCAAAAGTTGTCAAAATTAAAATATGTATTAAAAAATTGAGAAATCGAAAACTCGAAAAATCGAGAAATCTAAAAATCCAAAATTTTGAAAAATTTTAAAAGTAGAAAAACCGGATCGTCAAGAAATCAAAACATTAAAAAATTGTAAAAACGAAAAATTGAAACACCAAAAAACTGAAAAATCAAAAATTTAAAAATCCGCTACATTGAAAAATATATCGGAGAACTGAAAAATCGACAAATCGATAAATCCAAATGTCTAAAATTAAAAATTGAAACATCAAAAAAATGGAAAATCGAATAACCGAATAGCCGAAAAGTAGAAAAATCGAAAATTTGAGAAATCGGAATAGGTCAAAACTGAAAAAATAGAAAAATTGAAGAATCGAAAAATCGAGAAATTGATCCCATTGAAACACCGAAAAATTTGTTTTAAAAATCGAAAAATTGAAAAATCTAGAACCAAGAAGTTGAAATTTCGAAAGATCAAGAAATTGAAACAAAATCTAAAATTTAATGTTCGAAAAATTGAAAAACAGAAATCAAAGAACTGAAAAATCGAAAAATAGAGAAACCGAAAAATGCAATGTCTTCATAATTGAAAAATTAAAATTTGGAAAAACTGAAAGTTGAAAAATTTAAAATTTTAAAATCCAAAAACTAAAAAAACGAAAAAATAAAAACCGAGAAATCGAAAAACTGAAGAATCGAAATATTGAAAAATGCCGAAACTAAAAGACCGAAAAATTGAGAAATCGAAACGTCTTAAAGTGGAAGCCGAATAATAATAATGGAAAATTTGAAAAATCGAAAATTGAAAAACGAAAACCCGGAACTTGAATTCAAACACTGAAAAGTCAAAAAATTTAGAAATGGGAAATTCAAAAAATCGATTCGATTTTTGACTCCTGGAATTTTTCGATGTGTCGATTTTTTTACTTTTTCGATTTTTAAATTTTAGATTTTCTAATTCTTAAAATTTTAGATTTTTCGATTTCTCCATTTTTCATTTCAGAATTTTTCAAACTTTTATAAACTCTTAATTTTTCGATTTTTCAATTAATCGATGTTTCGATTTTCACATTTCTTGACCTTCGAGTGTTTCGATTTTCCGATTCTTCAATTCCTTAATTTTTTGATTTTTCAGGTTTTTGATTTTTCAATTTTTCGATTTTTTAAGGTTTCTATTTTTCAACTTCACTTTTTTTATTTATTTTTCGATTTTTCTTTATATATCTTTTTACTTTTTCGATTTTTCAATTTTTGGATTTTTAAATTTTAGATTTTTCGATTTATGTTTAATTTTTCAATATTTCTTAACCTTTCGATTTTTCGACTTGTTAATTTTCCATTCCAGATTTATCGAGATCTGATTATTCATGTTTTCGATTTATCATTTTTTCAATTTTTTGTGTTGGCCTATTTCGGTTTCTCAGTTTTTCCAGTTTTCCATTTTTCGTTTTTTGATTTTTCCGCTTTTCCAATTTTTCAACTTTTAACTTTTTGTTTGTCGATTTATCTCTTCTCAATTTTTCGAATTTTTAATTTTTTTGATTTCTCTATTTATCGAGATTTGGATTTTTCGATATTTTGATTGTCAATTTCTCAATTTATAATTTGTTCAATTTTTAACTTTTCGATTTTTCGATTTTGGCCTACTTCGGTTTCCAAATTGTTCGACTTTTCGACTCCACGATTTCTTGATCTTTTGATTTTTCGATTTTTCAGTTATCCGATTTTTTAAATTTGGCAGTTTCGATTTCTCGATTTTTCGTTATTCGGTTTTTAAATTTTAGATTTTTGAATTTTACATTTTTTCGATTTTCAGTTCTTCGATATTTCGATTTTTCAATGTTTCGGTTTTACGATTTTTTAAGGTTTCGATTTTTCGATTATTAGATTTCTCGATTTTTCGTATTTTCGATTATTTTGATTTTTTTTTTCTCACTGTGAATATCATTTCCCGCAGAAATTATAGTCCTAACCAACCAAATCGCTTCTGAACGCTTAGAGTCGACATTGGCCTGAGCGCGCTCTGGTCTGTAGATCAAACAAGTTCTCAGGCAACGAGTCGTAGTGAAACAAGTTTTACACTAACTATTTAAATTTGGCGCTTGCCTTTGACGGTTGAGGACTCCAATGTCAATAAGGGTGGTTTTGCAAAATCAGCCTGTATGTCGCATCTATATTAATCTATGATTTCGACGAAGTAAAATTTGTATTAGGTTGTCCAACTATAATATACTTAAACAATGGTTGTACCTTTGACGCGGCTCAAATGCATCCGGTACGTGTCTTGCATATGCGTCAAACAACAAATTATCAATTCGGTCATCAAGTACTTGATCTGCGTGGTCTTCAAGCGCGTTTCGGTTGTGGTCGTCAGTTTTCTGAAGCGCTTGAAGAATTTCGAGTGTTTCCGGAGGACTTGGAAACCCGATGAACCGGCGAAAATGCCCAGGAACTTTTCTTCTGCAATGGTTTGTCGGGAGCGATTCCCGTTTAGTGAAGGCATTGCTGGATCCATCGTGGATTGTGCAACAACTGGAAATTTTGATGGTTTACCGGGACGCTGTCACTGCGAGCGCGTTGCCGGGGTATTTGAAATGACAGACAAATAGAAATACCTTTTATTAAAACGTGAAAAATAAATATATCAATATCAAACAAAAATATCTTCTGTAATCGTCTCTTCGGAATCGAAGACTCAATCGTCGATGCAAATGACATCTAAATCCACCTTGATGTTCGCCACGGTTGGTGGTTGTTGAGCATTTAAAATCTCCATCTTGACTTCTCGATCCATGCCTGGAAAACTGTTACGGGATGTAAGCAAACCCTCTTCAGATTTAGTAAATACGAACCCGTTATACGCCGCCATTAGTTGTTCCTGGCGGACGGCAAGTGCGTTGTACTGTTCGATCTGGTACCGCAGCTGCTCTAGTTGTTCTTCAGTAAAAACCACTATAAAACCCACTTTAGACAGAGCAATCGAGTCACAATCCTCACCTTCGGTACTACCCACGGTTTCTTGCTTCATCTGAAGCAACTCCACGTAACTATCGATGTTTCGCAAAAGTTCCCTCGCGACTCGACTCGTGCAAGCCTCCCTCTGAGGGTGCAACATCGAATATAAATAAAGCGCTACGTATTTGGCTTTAACCGAAACCATGTAGTGTACGTCTAGTTTGGAAGCGACGATTTCCAAAAACCGTGGCAGGTTCAAGTTCTTGACGAAGATGTGTGAGATGTTGGTTAAGAGGGCGCGACCAAGCGAAGCCGCGTGTTTCGAGATGAGATTGTAAGCCAGAAAATTATCGACCGTGGTCTCTTCCGGCGTCAGACACTCTTCGATCGAATGTATCACATTCGCCATCTTATTAATTTCGTAGATCTTATAACAGTCAAACACTATCGGTAAAATTCGATTCGCCAACTCCTTCTCGCTCGCCACGACTTCTTCCTCCACAGTCAAGTCGATGCACGTCTCCTCCACATGAAACAGTATCTCCGGTACGAAAACCGTGACTTCATGCAACAATTCAATCACCACGCTCGCTTTGGCCGTCTTCACTTCGAACTCCTCCGCCGTCTCGAAGTAGCACTCCTTCGCGAACTTCAAGACCGTGAAAAACACGTCTTCTTCGCTGGTCAGATCGATCACCTCCTTCTTGACCACCACGTTCCACGCCGCTCGCGCGTCGCACCGACTCTTCACCACCACCACTTTGGGTTTGCGCTTGTCGCAGTGGAAGATCACGCGGTCGATGACGCGTTTCCGCTGATGCATAAGTCTCTTACAAGTGAAGAATTTGGGCTCGACGTAGTCCAGCTGCTGGGCTTTGTTGAGCTTGCGGGCGGCGCTGCGACCGCGCTTGCACTCTTCCCGTTTCTTCGCCGGTTTCTTCGGCTCTTCGAACTTGCGCTTCTTGGGCGGCATCGAGTGCTGGCTTTTGCGACTGTCGTTGTCGGAGTCGAGGATTTTCAGAAGGTCGGTGTCGCTGTCGTAGATCTTTCCTTTGTTTACGACCAGCGGGCACATGTTCGGTAGAATCTCATATTCTTTGATGAACGTTTCGATTTCGTTGATGACGTCGATGCTGTCGTCCAAGATTGAGTTTCCGCACGTCCTGAAAGCAGAATTGACGCTCCGAGTGGAGGGTTTACTGTGTGAAGGAGGCTTAGAATTGTGCAATTTTCTAATAGCGACATGCGTTTTAATTGAGTATTTTTTAAGGCGGCTGATAAGACAGATAAAGGAAATTTTTGATGCTTCTAAACAAACAAAAACGAGATAGTTGAGTGATGTATCGAAGTATTAACAGCCGGCTGTCATCAATCCCAGATTTGATAACTCAAACATTTCACAATGTTTACTATATATTACGATATAGCACACCCAAATCTATTTGCTTTTTATATCAAAGATAATTTCAAGGAAAGTCTCAGTTTGTTGTCGCAGGGCTCAACCACATGCTTACAAAATAAAATATAACAAAACATCTAAACAAATATCATACATAGAACTACGACATTACAAATATAAAATTTAAAACGACAACCTATCAGTACATTCTTAATTGCAATGTAATGACGCACGATCAAAACACTTGTTTTATGTTCGCTTTCACTTGGATGATTATGTTATGCTAAAACTGAGCTTACCGCGCCATCGTCCCTGAAATTGCTACTCATCACACTACTAAAACATGTGAAAACTGAAAATATGTAATTTAGTTGTGGGGGAGATTATGCTCCGACTGTTGGGACTGGTTGCAGAAGTTAGCCTTGACGGCGTGCTTCCTATCAGTTAAGCCACACTTGACTCATTCGTTTGTTGTTATTTTAAGAAACTTATCACCGTGAGCACGCGACATTCAAAAACAAAAAATATTTGGATTGAATCTGACCTAATTCCATTTCCAGAAAGCTTCACGACAGTCCACTTTTCGGCGACGACGCTAAAAATGTGTTTAATTTTGCTTAATATAGCATTACGTATCACACTACGAGCCATTTGGTACCAAAACCGCCCAATTTCCTGTACTGGCGCGTCTCCGTTTCAAATTTCGCGCCTAGTTTTGGAACTAAAACGTCACAACTACATTGCACGTCACCAACATGGCCGTTCAAGGCCACTCAACGCACGGACCTAAAACTAACGAACCAACCTCGTCTCGTCTACACCACCGCCCTCTAAATCATGCGCAGCCAAAGCAAACCACGAAATCGCGTCATGCACAACACTCTCCCCCAATAAAAATACAAAACTAAGACCCTTACGTCCAATTAAAGCCCATATTACCAGACATCGCAACAAGTTTTTCCACAACCACAACAATAAATAAATAACGATACGTTAGATTGTTGGAGCTTTGGCACACCTTTTTGACATTTTTAGGTTAAGTCAGCGCAACATACTACTTGGTACTTACGCGAGGAGGCGCTAAAAGCCACAATGCTACGATTAGCTGAATAAATTCAAATTTACATACATTTTAGGGCGTCTACGTACCCGATGTTAGGACTTTTCTACTAAATAAATCGAATCACCACCAAACACATCATGGATTAAAAAATTGTCAGTTTTGTGGGGAACTTCACACCCGAAGCAGTGGCGTATCGGGGAAAGGAGATTTTTGAAAATGTGATTGAGTCGGTTTGTGGGGGTACAAGAGTTGTTACACTTTCCATCAGGGTTTAGGTTTGTTGAAGTCGGAACCGACTGGGTGAAAACTGCATGTTTACGTTTTTTGAGGGTGCATCAAACGACATGAGTGTAGGCACTTTTTGCAAAATGTCAAAAAGTTCAGGGGCGGGTAACGCGAAAATCAACCAGGGTTTTTTTAATTTATCAAGTCGGTACTCGTCTCTAAAACCTACATATAGGTACCAAAGACTTTAATAAGTTTTAATCACTTATTAATTACAACTAGATTGTTGCGATTTTGACACTTCTTCAATCATAATTCATACTCGGTCCGTGTGACAAACATGTTATCTGTCAAATCAGGCACCAAATTACCTCTGCATTGTAGTCCACGCTCTGAATCCCCACTGACCTTCACCCACTAAAACTGACTTCTGACACCCCATGCGCAGGTGGCGTGTTTCCAACCCCTATAGGCGTCCAAACTTTAGTCCAAGAAAAAATGTTCAAACCGTTTCCAAGTAATAATAAAAGAACTTACCAGAATTTGTAACCGGCTGAGCTAAACAATATACGGACGGTGATTAATTGATTGCAACATAATCATGTTGTTTGTAAAATGCTGAATCGAGATTCGTTTCATATCTCTTTCGACGTTTTATGTTTCGATAACCTGATAAGATTTACTTACCGAACTGAACTGTCGTCGGTTTTAATTTTTTCTTTAATCAGCGTAGAGTTCATGTTGTTATCGACGCCACACTTACAAGATGACTAGTTATAATTAGAATACTTTATCGCGTTTAAGTACACTATAGAAGAGTCCGATAAGCGTATTTGTCAATTATGCAATTTATGTAAGTTATTGACATGATTTGACAACTTGCAAAATTAGAAAGCATCAATCACCGTTATTGTTGTTATTATTATTATTACTTGTCACAGCGTCGCTAGTGACAGTATTTTCTGAACAGTAACCGGAATCAAAAACGCCGCTCCAACACTGACAATTGACACTGTTGACAGTGCCGGCAATGCAGCTCGCTGTAATGTGACTTCCACCTGTCAAAACACCGATCTCTCCAAAACAGTTATTCAAACTACATTTTTCTCAATAATGTGGAACGCCCCGCTAATTCCATTCATCCACGTTTCATCAAACGGCTGAGGCGTAAAATTCCGCTAGGAACACTCCTGTACACCGTGAGGTTAGATAACTTATCTGACAAAAAAAAAGTTACTTTGAACCCTAATTAAGTAACCAGTTTTAGTGAAAACGAAAAATGCAGAGAGCATTCCTTGACGTCAACGGCGTGAGAACTAACGTCCTAACGTACGGGAAATGGGTGGAAGAGGCGGCTTCAGAGCAGCCACAGGACATAATTCTGGTGATTCCTGGAAACCCGGGGGTTACTGGGTTCTACAAGATGTTTATGCACACCCTGCACGAGAAAACCGGTTTTCCGGTGTGGATCGTGGGTCATGCGGGGCATGACGTCCCTAAGAAGAGCGCGGTTTGTGGGGTACAAGGTCTAAAAGGGAATGAGGAGTTGTTTGGGATGAAAGGACAAATTGAACACAAGGTTTACGACAATGATTTATTTTTGTATCCTAATAGTGACAATTCATTGTTGTAGAAAGAGTTTATCAAGAAATATGTGCCTGCTAATGCACGCCTACACCTAGTTGGACACTCCATAGGCACCTACATCATCCTAAACCTACTAAAAAATGAAGAATTTAACGCTAGAGTGGTCGACGTTAATTTACTTTTCCCCACAATCGAACACATGGCGGTTACCCCCAATGGGAAATTTCTAACCACTTTTGTTAAACCCATTGTTTGGTTGATAGTGTTCTTGTCCTGGATTTACACAGTTTTACCCTCAATTCTTCAGAATTTTCTGATGTACATGTACATGAAAATCGCCTGCGTGCCTAGAATGCACTTTAGGACTTTAGTGAGTTTCATTGATCCTTCCATCATGGAAAAAATTTTCTTCATGGCGTTTGAAGAACTGGATCAAGTGGAAGAAAGGGATGACGCCACCATAAAAAACAACAAAGACAAAATCAGACTTTTGTATGGGAGAAGTGACGGCTGGGCCCCTCCAAACTACTGTGAGACACTCAAAAATGACCTGGTTGGAATCAATGCGGAAATTAGCGAATTCGACCACGCTTTTGTTTTACGGCAAAGTCGGCAAGTTGGTAGCATTGTAGGAGAATGGATACGAGCCTAAGAACAAAATTCGACTTATATTATTAGTTTAGTTGGTTTTGTGATAATAAAGTTGGTGTGGAAAAGCGCTATTTGAATTTCCCCCGTTTAGTTCCTAGTGATTATGGTGATAATCGTGACGCGGTTGGCAACACTTCTCTTTCACCAATTATTGACAGACGGTAAGTCCGTTGTGTTTATTTTCGTTAATATTTCGATCATCAGGTGCGTTTTTTCGCAAATTTTGTTAAATTTGCGTTACTTGCACCGTCCCGAGTTTACTCGTGCACGTATTTATGGGTGTTTTTGTCAAATTTGTCCACTAATCGTTTTTCTGTTTTGCAGGTTAGGTCATCACCACTTCGAACATGGTAAGTTTTCTCGCACAATTTCGATCTAATTAAGTTAACATAAAACGTTGCAGCCGCGCGAACTTCACGAAATTAAGCAGTTCCTTCTCACGGCGCGCAGGAAAGACGCCAAATGTGAGTCCCCCTCGTTTCCATTCCAGTCCTAAAATTTTGTTTGTAGCCGTCAAAATCAAGAAAAACCCCGAAAACACCAAGTTCAAGGTGCGCTGCTCGCGATTTTTGTACACTCTGGTGATCACGGACAAGGAAAAGGCGGAAAAACTCAAACAGTCCCTTCCACCAGGTGAGTCAATTACGTGCCTCTATTGTCACTAATCCCCGATTTTCCAGGCTTGCAAGTGAAGGAAGTGAAGTAAATGTTAATAATTTTACTTTTGTAACTTAATATAAACGTTAATGTAAACGCAGTTGGTGTTTTTGACCCTACATTGTTGTTTCGTGTTGGCGAATGTCAAACTTGTCTTCGGACTCTGAGTTCGAAGCGTCTTCGACCATCTCGTAGTACTCTGACTTTCCTAAAACACTGAAGACTGATTTTTAAGTCGGATTGTAGCCCCCAAGTAAGTTACCGTTTTTTTGGCTTTTTCAACCGGCGGCAACAACTAACGCACGTCACGTAGATGCAAACGCTGATTGTTAGGACGACGAGGCCCCCAAGAACCGCTAGACAAATCGTGTCGAACGGTAGCCACTCTCTGGGGTCTTCGTACTCAATTGTAGGCGATAACGTAGGCACTGAAATGTTTCGAGGGGTTCTACAAAATTTATAAGTGTGAGTTTGGTTTGGGTGCGTACGTTGAGGTTTCGTTTGCGAGCTCCCCCAATCCGGCGTGCAAGCTTTTCTGCAAGTCTTCGCCTAATTGGTGGAATACTGTTCTTCCGAGCCAATCGGCGAGCTCGTATTTACCCATTTGGCGCAACCGGTGCTCAAGAACCTCGTGGGTTTCGCCCCGGCCTTCACCGTCGGCGGAGTTCCAGTGGAGGAGGAGCTGGATGCACGGGACGTCCTTCGGGATGGCTTGTGCTTTAAGTTTTTGTAATAAAGGGTGTAATATAGGGGATGAGGGGTACCTGCTTGCCCTACGGCGTTGGGCATCATGTAAGCTTTAAAGTGGGCGGCCGCCACCAGGCGGCGACACTCTTCGGGGAGCAGATGGCTCGCCAGGTATTCCAATTCGGCGAAATTTAAATCAATTGTGGCTAGAATATGGGGCACGAAAAATAAGACCAATTTCATTTTTATTGTCATTTTGACACTGATATTTGTGTCAAAAAAAAAAATCAAGCTAAAAATCCGCCATCTACTGACAAGTCCCAGTTATCATCCTGGCGAAAACGCAGCAGCATTGGCCACATTTTTGATCTCAGCGAATCGCTTCAGCGGGATTTTGCATAGGCTCGGTCAGTTTCCCGTCGCTCCAGATTTTCTTCCCTAATTCCGTCATGACTACCGTGGAGTTGTTACAGTTACAGCGAAGCTTTCGAAGAAATATTGACTATAGCTCCGGGGTACTTCCGGGCTACCATGCTCTCGATGGTGGTTTTCTTTGACGTTGATGGCGAATATTCTGGGATGAGTATTTATATACTAGTTATGCCTTTAAAACGAAAGGTACTACAATGGCGGGTACTAACTCACTTTGGGCTGCTCCTGTGACTAATGCCCTTTTACCCTTGAAAGTTATCTCCATCGTGGTACGTTAAAGCGTAAATGAGGTCATTTTCACTGCACGAAGAGATAGTACTGTGATAAGGTACCACCATATCAGTGTTGCTTAGTGACCTTTATTTGATCTTAAGATGGAACGCTGACAGGCTGCTGTAGATCTTCAACGCAGAATAATCATTTTCTGTACCCTTTTGAAATACTAGAATTCAAATTAAACTTAGGTTAATATTCCGTCTGCCTGTCTGTCCATCTGTCCGTCTGTCTGCCGTCCCGGATTTTTCATAACTACAAACATTGACCCTTTTAGACATGTTTTAAGTTTCTTGTTGTCGGAATAAGTCTACACATATTTAGAAAAAGAAGGCAAAATGTAGGCCCGCCCACCCGCCCTCTCTCAATTGTGATGATTTTTTTCTATTCGTCGTGAGCCAAGAGGACGAAATTTAATTGCAAAATCCATATTTCCTTACAAAAATTTACCATTTTAAACGTGTTTTACGTTTCTAAGAATAAAAATAATCATCACAATTGAGATGGGGTGGGTGGGCGGGGTTTATATTTTGGTTTCTTTTTCTTAATATGCACAGTATTTTTTGAACAACACGATACTCAAAAACGCCCCATAATGGCTATGTACATTAAGAAACAAAAAAGGAAAAATACAAGCCCCGCCCACCCGCCATATCTCAATTCTGATGTTTTTTACTTCCCGAGCGTAAGCAAAGGAAGTATTGTAATCGAGTCCGTCGGCCGACTCTCTACTTTTACGTTTTCTCGATCTTTCATGACCCCTAGAAGACGAAGAAATAGGTCTCCCATTTCCGTCTGTCTGTCCGTCTGTCCGTCCGTCTGTCCGTCTGTCCGTCCGTCTGTCCGTCTGTCCGTCTGTCCGTCTGTTGTCCCGGATTTTTATTAGACAGATAATCTCCGAAAGTACTCGACCGATTGTTGTGAAATTTTGTACTTATATTAAGAATATCATGTAGATGGTAAAACGCTAACCAAAATTTGTCTAATCATCCCCACCACTAATGCGATGACGTCACTTCAAAATTGTACATAGTAAATGGGTTTTCAATTGTATAAAATAACATAGTCCTACACATGTAGTTTACAACTCTGAATCGACTTTTCACCCGAAACGTCCAGATTTTTGAAAAAAAAATCAAAATTATAAAACAACATTTTGAAATTTAATTTTTAATCTGCTAACCAGAATGCTTTGAAATATTGCAGATGTTTTAAGGCTATAAAGAGCATCATAAATTTTTAGTCAAAAAATATTTGCTTATCCCCTCCAAAAACTTGATGACGTCAGCTCAAAAGTTTGTGGAATAAATCATATCTAAAATGTACAAAATATGATGAGTCTGTACTTGTGATCTATCACTCCATTCATATTTTTTGGATTTGCATATACAGGGTGACTCAAAAAAATTAATGAATGCGTAAATATATTTTATTGATTTAATCAGGAACTACAAAACCGAATGCTCTGAAATCTTGCAGATGTTTTAAGGTCATAAAGAGCATAATAAATGTTTAGTCAAAATATATTTGTTTATCCCCTCCAAAAACTTGATGACGTCAGCTCGAAAGTTTGCCGAATAAATCATATCTAAAATGTACAAAATATGATGAGGCTGTACTTGTCATTTATCACTCCATTCATATTTTTTGGATTTGCATATACAGAGTGACTCAAAAAAATTAATGAATGCGTAAATATATTTTATTGATTTAATCAGGAACTACAAAACGGAATGCTCTGACATCTTGCAGATGTTTTAAGGTTATAAAGAGCATAATAAATGTTTAGTCAAAATATATTTGCTTATCCCCTCCAAAAACTTGATGACGTCAGCTCGAAAATTTGCCGAATAAATCATATCTAAAATGTACAAAATATGATCAGTCTGTACTTGTGATCTATCACTCCATTCATATTTTTTGGATTTGCATATACAGGGTGATTCAAGAAAATAAATGAAAGCGTAAATTTATTTTACTCACACACACAATAGGCATGCAGTCGTCAAGTTTCCGACAGCGAGGGAAGTACTGTCTAAACTCTTTAGACCAATTTTTTTTTATTGTCGTAAGTCGAGGGGCGAAACTTAATTGCAAAATGCTTATATATGTTTCTACGAGAAATTACTATGTGAAATATGTTCTTAAGTAATCGCGTTATATAAAAAAAATGGAATGTACTAATTAAAAAAAGAAAGCGAAAAGAGAAGCCCCACCCACCCGTGATGAATCTTTCATTTGTTGTCAGACCGAGGGGCGGAGCATAATTGAGAAATCGATATTTCCCTATACAGATTTACCATTTTAAACATATTTTAAGTTTTTTGTTGTGAAAAGATGACTACACATATTAAGAAAACAAGGCAAAATATAAACCCCGCCCACCCACCCCATCTCGATTGTGATGATTTTTTTTTATTCGTCGTAAGCCGAGGGGCAGAACCTAATTGCAAAATCCATATTTTCTTACAAAAATTGACCATTTTAAACGTGTTTTAAGTTTCTAAAAAAAAAAATTATCACACCTGAGATGGGGTGGGTGGGCGGGGAATAATATTTTTCCTTATTTTCTTAATATACACAGTATTATTTGACTAACATGATACTCAAAAATTTCTTGTAAAGAAATAGGTATTTTGCAGTTAAGCTCCGCCCTCTTGGTTCACAGCGAATAAAAAAAATTATCACAATAGAGATAGGGTGGGTGGGCGGGCTTAGATTTTGCCTTGTTTTTTTAATATGTGTAGTCTTCTTTTCACAACATGAAACTTACAACATGTTTAAAATATTAGAAAAATGTACCATTTTAACCATGTTTTAAGTTTCTTGTTGTATAAAGATGGCCATGTATATTAAAAAAAAAAGGCAAAATATAAGCCCCGCCCACCCACCCTATCTCAATTCGGATGATTTTTTTAATTTGTCGTAAGTCGAGGGGCAAAACTTTATTGTAAAATCCGTATTTTTCAACGAGAAATTATCATATAAAATATGTTCTTAAGTAATCGTGTTATACAAAAAAATTAGTGTATTAATTAAAAAAAGAAAGCCAACAGGGAAGCCCCACCCATCCGTCTAGATCTCAATCGTGATGAATCTTTCATTTGCTGTCAGACCGAGGGGCGGAGAGTAATTGCGAAATCGATACTTCCCTATACAAATTTACCATTTTAAACATATTTTAAGTTTTTTGTTCTGAAAAGATGACTACACATATTAAGAAAAAAAGGCAAAATATAAACCCCGCCCACCCACCCCATCCCGATTGTGATGATTTTTTTTATTCGTCGTGGGTCAAGAGGGGGGAGCCTAATTGCAAAATCCCTATTTCCTTACAAAAATGTACCATTTGAAGCGTGTTTTAACTTTCTAATAAAAAAGTAAATAATTTTTTTCTTAGTGTACCTACATAGTATTTTCTTTGAACAACACGATACTCAACCATATATTTTTAATTTCTTGTAAATAAGTCATTATTTGCAATTAATCTGCGCCCCCTTGGTTTACTGCGAATAAAAAAATCATCACAATAGAGATGGGGTGGGTGGGCGGGCTTAAATTTTGCCTTATTGTTTTAATATATGTAGTCTTCTTTTCACAACATGAAACTTACAACATGTTTAAAATATAAGAAAAATGTACCATTTTAACCATGTTCTAAGTTTCTTGTTGTGAAAAGATGGCTATGTATATTAAAAAAAAGGCAAAATATAAGCCCCACCCACCCACCCTGTCTCAATTTGGATGATTTTTTTTTATTCGTCGTAAGCCGAGGGGCAGAACCTAATTGCAAAATCCATATTTTTTTACAAAAATTGAGCATTTTAAACGTGTTTTAAGTTTCCAAGAAAAAAAAATTATCACACCTGGGTTGGGGTGGGTGGGCGTAGAATAATATTTTTCCTTATTTTCTTAATATGTTTACATTGTATTATTTGAACAACACGATACTCAAAAATTTCTTGTAAAAAATAAGTATTTTACAGCTAAACTCCCCCCTCTTGCTTCACGGCGAAAAAAAAGATCATCACAATAGAGACAGGGTGGGTGGGCGGGCTTAGATTTTGTCTTGTTGTTTTAATATGTGTATTCTTCTTTTGACAACATGAAACTTACAACATGTTTAAAATACAAAATTTGTATAAGGAAATATCGATTTTGCAATTAGGCTCCGTCCGATAATTGCAAAACCCATATTTCTTTGCAAAAATATACCATTTTAACCATGTTTTAACTTTCTTGTTGTGAAAACATGGCTATGTATATTAAAAAAAAATAAAAATATACGCCCCGCCCACCCACCCTATCTTAATTCTGATGATTTTTTTTATTCGTCGTAAGCCGCGAAACGGAGTTTAATTAATTGTAAAATCCATATTTTTCAACGAGAAATTACCATATGAAATATGTTCTTAGGTAATCGTGTTAGACAAAAAAAAAATCGAATGTATTAATTAAAAAAAGAAAGCCAACAAGGAAGCCCCACCCATCCGTCTAGATCTCAATCGTGATGAATCTTTCATTTGTTGTCAGACCAAGGGGCGGAGCATAATTGCGAAATCGATATTTCCCTATACAAATTTACCACTTTAAACATATTTTAAGTTTTTTGTTGTGAAAAGATGACTACATGTATTAAGAAAAAAAGGCAAAATATAAACCCCGCCCACCCACCCCATCTCGATTGTGATGATTTTTTTATTCGTCGTGGTTCAAGAGGGGGGAGCCTAATTGCAAAATCCCTATTTCCTTAGAAAAATTTACCATTTGAAACGTGTTTTAAGCTTGTAATAAAAAAATAAATAATATTTTTCTTAGTGTACCTACATAGTATTTTCTTTGAACAACACGATACTCAACCATATATTTTAAATTTCTTGTAAATAAGTCATTACTTTGCAATTAATCTCCGCCCCCTGGGTTTACTGCGAATAAAGAAATCTTCACAATAGAGATAGGGTGGGTGGGCGGGCTCAGATTTTGCCTTGTTGTTTTAATATATGTAGTCTTCTTTTCACAACGTGAAACTCACAACATGTTTAAAATATAAGAAAAATGTACCATTTTCATCTTGTTCTAAGTTTCTTGTTGTGAAAAGATGGCTATGTATATTAAAAAAAAGGCAACATATAAACCCCACCCACCCACCCTATCTCAATTCGAATAATTTTTTTTTTCGTCGTAAGCCGAGGGGCAGAACCTAATTGCAAAATCCATATTTTCTTGAAAAAATTGACCATTTTAAACGTGTTTTAAGTTTCTAATAAAAAAAATATTTTTTTTTCTTAGTGTACATAGTATTTTCTTTGAACAACACGATACTCAAAAATATATTTTTAATTTCTTGTAAATAAGTCATTATTTTGCAATTAATCTCCGCCCCCTTGGTTTACTGCGAATAAAAAAAATCCTCACAATAGAGATGGGGTGGGTGGGTGGGTGGGCTTAGATTTTGCGTTGTTGTTTTGATATGTGTAGATTTCTTTTCGCAACATGAAACTTACAACATGTTTAAAATATAAGAAAAATGTACTATTTTAACCATGTTCTAAGTTTCTTGTTGTGAAAAGATGGCCATGTATATTAAAAAAAAAGGCAAAATATAAGCCCCACCCACCTACCCTATCTCAATTCAGATGATTTTTTTTTATTCGTCGTAAGCCGAGGGGCAGAACCTAATTGCAAAATCCATATTTTCTTACTAAAATTGACCATTTTAAACCTGTTTTAAGTTTCTAAGAAAAAAATTATCACACCTGAGATGGGTTAGGTGGGCAGGGAATAATATTTTTCCTTATTTCTCTAATATACATAGTATTATTTGAACAACACAATACTCAAAAATTTCTTGTAAAGAAATAAGGATTTTGCAGTTAAACTCCGCCCCCTTGGTTCACGGCGAATAAAAAAAATCATCACAATTGAGACAGGGTGGGTGGGCGGGCTTACATTTTGTCTTTTTGTTTTAATATCTGCAGACTTCTTTTCATAACATAAAACTTACAACATGTTTAAAATGAAGAATTTGCATAAAGAAATATCCATTATTGCAATTAGGTTCCGCCCCATAATGGCTATGTATATTAAGGTACAAAAAAGGAAAAATATAAGCCCCGCCCACCCACCCAATCTCAATTCTGACGATTTTTTTTATTTGTCGTAAGTCGAGGGGCGGAACTTAATTGTAAAATCCGTATTTTTCAACGAGAAATTATCAAATGAAATATGTTCTTAAGTAATCGTGTTATACAAAAAAAAAAATGAATGTATTAATTAAAAAAAAGGTGTATCTTTTGATAGCAAATTGTCATTTGTACATCACATCGCTAAAATTATAAACTCAGCTTACAAATGCTTAGGTTTCATTGTACGTAACACCAAAGATTTCACTAAAGTATCTTCAATTAATATAATTTACTTTGCGTTTGTTCGTAGTAAACTAGAATACGCATCTGTCATATGGTCGCCCTTTTATAACATCCACAGTTCCAATCTGGAAAGAATTCAGAGAAGATTTCTGAAGTTTGTTACATTCATGCTGGACGGCTCTTATCCCGTTCGTAATTTTCCACAAGACTTATTATTAAATAGATTTGGTATTCAGAGCCTTGCAAAAAGAAGATCCTTGCATTTAACGGTATTTTTGTACAAACTCATACACAATTTTATTGACTGTAAGTACATAGTAGAACAGATATCCTATAGAATACCGCGTGTTAATAGTCGTTACACCACTGTACTTTACTTACCTAGGGCTAAAACTAACATGCTTGCTTCATCACCTTTGTACCAGATGCTTCGTAACTATTGCGATATTGAAGCTGATTTGGATATATTTTGCTGTAGTTTGCAAGAAATCAAATTTAGATTTGGTTAAAAATCTCATTTTCATATCTATGTTCTTTTTGTTTTTTTTTCCTTATTTGTTTTAATTTAAACTTGCTAATTTCACTTCTCTCTTTTTGTTTTATGTTATAATCTTTATGCTCCTTGCCTAATAATTGGAGTTTTCACTCTGTTGAGGCATTGTATTAGTAATAATAATAATAATAATAATATTAATAATAATAATAAAAAAAGAAAGCCAACAGGGAAGCCCCACCCATCCGTCTAGATCTCAATCGTGATGAATCATTCATTTGCTGTCAGACCGAGGGGCAGAGCGTAATTGCGAAATCGATATTTCCCTACACAAATTTACCATTTTAAACATGTGTTAAGTTTTTTATTGTGAAAAGATGACTACACATATTAAGAAAAAAAGGAAAATATAAATCCCGCCCACCCACCCCATCTTGATTGTGATGATTTTTTTATTCGTCGTGGATCAAGAGGGCAGAGCCTAATGGCAAAATCCATATTTCCTTACAAAAATTTACCATTTGAAACGTGTTTTGAGTTTCTAAAAATAAAAAAAATTTTTTTTTTCTTAGTGTACACAGTATTTTCTTTGAACAACACGATACTCAAAATATATTTTTAATTTCTTGTAAATAAGTCATTATTTTGCAGTTAATTTGCGCCCCCTTGCTTTACTGCGAATAAAAAAAATCATCACAATAGAAATGGGGTGGGTGGGCGGGCTCAGATTTTGCCTTGTTGTTTTAATATCTGTATTCTTCCTTTGACAACATGAAACTTACAACATGTTTAAAATGGAAAATTTGTTTAAGGAAATATCGATTTTGCAATTAGGCTCCGCCCCTTAATAGCAAAAGCCATATTTCCTTACAAAAATGTACCATTTTAACCATATTTTAAGTTTCTTGTTATGAAAATATGTCTATGTATATTAAGAAAAAGAAGGAAAATATAAACCCCGCCCGCCCGCCCTATCTCAATTCTGATGACTTTTTTTATTCGTCGTAAGCCGAGAGGCGGAGCTTAATTGTAAAATCCGTAGTTTTCTACGAGAAATTACCATTATGAAATATGTTCTTAAATAATAATTGTGTTATACAAAGAAAACGAAATGTATTATTTAAAAAAGAAAAGAAAAAGAGAAGCCCCACCCATCCGCCTCGATCTCAATCGTGATGAATTTTTCATTGGTTGTTAGACCGAGGGGTGGGGCGTAATTGCAAAATCGATATTTCCCTATACAAATTTACTATTTTAAACATATTTTAGTTTTTTGTTGTGAAAAGATGACTACACATATTAAGAAAAGAGGCAAAATATAAACCCCGCCCACCCACCCCATCTCGATTGTAATGATTTTTTTTATTCGTCGCGGGTCAAGAGGGCGAAGCCTAATTGCAAAATCCTTATTTCCTTACAAAAATTTACCATTTGAAACGTGTTTTAAATTTCTAAGAATAAAAAAATACATTTTTTTCTTAGTGTACATAGTATTTTTTTTGTACAACACGATACTCAAAAATATATTTTTAATTTCTTATAAATAAGTCATTATTTTGCAGTTAATCTCTGCCCCCTTGATTTACTGCGAATAAAAAAAATCATCACAATAGAGATGGGGTGGGTGGGTGGGCTCAGATTTTGCCTTGTTGTTTTAATATTTGTAGTCTTCTTTTCACAACATGAAACTTACATGTTTAAAATATAAGAAAAATGTACCATTTTAACCATGTTCTAAGTTTCTTATTGTGAAAAGATGGCTATGTATATTAAAAAAAAGGCAAAATATAAGCCCCACCCACCCACCCTATCTCAATTCGGATGATTTTTTTTTATTCGTCGTAAGCCGAGGGGCAGAACCTAATTGCCAAATCCATATTTTCTTACAAAAATTGACCATTTTAAACGTGTTTTAAGTTTCTAAGAAAAAAAATTATCACACCTGGGATGGGGTTGGTGGGCGGGGAATAATATTTTTCCTTATTTTCTTAATATACGTAGCATTATTTGAACAACACGATATTCAAAAATCTCTTGTAAAGAAATAAGTATTTTGCAGTTAAACTTCGCCCCCTTGGCTCACGGCGAATAAAAAAAATCATCACAATAGAGACAGGGTGGGTGGGCGGGCTTAGATTTTGCCTTGTTGTTTTAATATCTGTATTCTTCTTTTGACAACATGAAACTTACAACATGTTTAAAATGGTAAATTTTTGTAAGGAAATATAAGAGTGTAAAACCTTCTCGGGGGTCTCAAGTGTCTTTTTTTTAAGAAAGGGAAACCTTTTTTTTTTCTATTACACTGTGACTAGTACCCTCTATATTGTTTTGAGTCCATAGAGGAGAAGCAGTATTTGTTGGACTGTACTTCAGAAGTGAGAGAAGTTCTGTAGAAATAACTTTCTTATACTTCGTTTTAAATATTGTTTTCTTATTTATAATTCAGTACTACCATACACATAATAAAGCATTATTTTTATTTTATTCAAACTTAATCAACAAGCTAAAAACCCCCCGTCCACCGGGAGACAGCTCCCCGTTATCATTGCCGCCTTATCACTAAGCAAAAACACAACAGCATCGACCACATTTTCGATCTCTGCGAACCGCTTCAGCGGGATTTTGGCCAGCATGGGCTCCCCCATTTTGGGGTCACTCCAAATCTTCCTCCCTAATTCGGTCATCACGACCGTTGGATTAACACAATTAATCCTTATGTTATGGGGGCCGTACTCTAGCGCTGTCGCCCTCGTAAAAGCATCGATGGCCCCCTTGGTTGCGCAGTACAGAGTATGGTTCAAAAGAGCGGCCTGTGAAGCTTGCGACGATATATTGACTATAGCTCCAGAGGATTTGCGGGCTACCATGTCTCCAATAGCGGTTTTGGTGACGTTAATCAGAGCTTTGACGTTGACGGTGAACATTCTGGAATAGTACTACTACGTATAGTGGTTTGTCAAGATAAAGAAAGGTGGTACCGATCGAACTGGTCTTCGGTGATGGAAGTAAGAGGGTCGATTGTGGCTATGCCGGCGTTGTTCACTACTAGGTCGATGGGGAAAACGGACTTAATAGCGTCAGCTGTGGCTGACCAGTTGGAGAGGTCAACCACGAGAAGTTCGACGGAAGGGCATTGGGTTTTTAGTTGGTCTGAAACAAGCAGCGGTGACTGGTGTTTAGTGGAAGGGAGTGGTACCTAGTGCCGGTTTAGAAACGTCCAAAGCGATGACGGTGGCTCCACATTGTAGTAGCTTTTCGGCGATGCCGCGCCCGATACCTTTGAAACGAAAACTACTATAAGTGCCAAAACGGTACTAGTAGTACTAACTCACCTTGAGCAGCCCCTGTTACTAGAGCCCTTTTACCTTTGAAGTTTATCTCCATCGTACTACGTGGAAGTCACAAATGCGACAAGTTCCACTCCAAGAAGCGATAGTACCGTGATAAGATACCACAGGTACGCCGGAAAGGTAAACATCGTGATTGACAAGTAAATAAAACTATAGTTACACAGTCGGTTTATTTAACAAGCCAAAAACCCACCATCCACTGGTAGACACGTCCCAGTGACCATACTCGACCTATCGCTCAACAAATACAAAACCGCGTCTACCACCTCGCGCACCTCCCCGAATCTCCTCAAAGGAATCTTCTGGATCATGGGCTCGGCTACCTTGGGATCGGACCAACCCAACTTCCCCATGTCTGTCAAAATCACGGTGGGGTTGACGCAGTTGACCCTTATGTTGTAAGGACCCAATTCCAAAGCCGCAGCCCTTGTAAACGCGTCAACTGCGCCCTTGGAAGCACAGTATACAGTGTGATGCATTAAGCCAGCCAGGGATGCTTGAGACGAAAGATTTACAATGGAACCTGGAGCGTTACGGGACAGGAGGTTTTGTACCACGATCCGGGTCACATTAATTAGAGCTTTGGTGTTGATACCCAAAACACTGTCGACGTCTTCTTCAGTGATTTCCGACATGGGTTTGAGCCAGCCGAGACCGGCGTTGTTAACAAGGAGATCAATGGGACCTAGGTTAGTTAGAGCGGTGGAAGTGGCATTCCAGTCACTTAAATCCAAAGGGATGATCTGGATTGATGGTACCTCGTGTTTTAGGGTTGCTACAAGAAGCCATTAGTGAAATAGTGACACAAAGTGGAAACCAATTTACTTACCTAGGTCGGTTTGGTTGCGTCCCACGGCCACCACTTGGGCGCCACATTTGGCCAACTGGATGGCTATATCGCGCCCGATTCCTGCAACGGGTTAATACATAGTCGACACAGTCGAATTAGGTGGAACGTACCTTTAGTGGCCCCAGTGACAAGGGCGCGCTTCCCGGTGAATATTATTTCCATGGTGGTTACGTAAAGAGTAACGAAGGTCGATTTATTTATGGGTACGTGATAACACTAGAGATAGAAAGGTCACTGCAATTACGACAATTATATTGTTTACATTTTAGTTTAATCTATCTCAAACACAAGTTTGACAGGGATTTTAAGAAGACACGAAACCTCCATCGATGGGTAAGCAAGTCCCCGTGATCATGCTGGACTTGTCACTAAGGAGATACAAAACCGCGTCGACGACTTCGTTCACTTCCCCAAATCTTCCAAGCGGGATTTTGTGGAGCATGGTCCCAGCCCTCGTGGGTTCGCTCCACCATTTTCGCCCCATTTCCGTCATAATGACGGTTGGGTTGACACAATTGACCCGTATGTTGTGAGGACCTAGTTCCAAAGCACTCGCTCTGGTGAAGGCATCGACTGCTCCTTTACTCGCAGCGTACACAGTGTGGTTGAGGAGACCCGCCAGGGACGCTTGGGACGAAATATTGACAATGGAACCTGGTGATTTTTTGGCCAAAAGTTCCTTGACGACGAGTCGAGTGACATTAATTAAACCCTTCACGTTTAAAGCGAAAATCCTGAAAATATGTCTCAGTACTACAAAAACAAATCTGGAAGGAGTACCGATCCACGTCTGTTTCGTCCAAGTCGGGTAGAGCCTTGATCATTCCTTCGCCGGCATTATTAACCAGAAGGTCAATCGGACCTAGGTTACAAAGGGCCTGCTCAGTACTACTCCAGTCGGATAGGTCTACATCTACGATTTCGATCGACGGGAATTCCGACTTTAACAACTCTGAAATGTAGCGTCAAGGATAACAAAATCGGGTGTAAGTACCGACCTAGATCTGGGCGTGAACGCCCAGTTGCTACGACACTAGCACCACATTGGGTTAATTCCACGGCTATGGCTCTACCAATCCCTCGGGACGCCCCCGTAACCAAAGCCCTTTTACCAGAGAAGGATATTTCCATGGTTGCGACTGTTAAAACCGTGTGAAACTAAAGTAATCCAGTCAGATTACACAGGTTCGAGGTTATCAAAAACAACTCACTTTTGATAAAATATTTATTAAACTTGAACGTATCCCCCGTCAACCAAAAGCGACTCCCCAGTTATCATAGTGGATTTATCACTCAACAAAAACAACACCGCATCGGTGACCTCGCGAACCTCCCCGAATCTCCTTAGCGGGATTTTCAGCTTCAACGGCTCGGCTAAGTTCGGGTCGGAGTACCCTTGTTTCCCCATTTCGGTCATAATCACCGTGGGGTTGACACAGTTAACTCGGATGTTGTGGGGTCCTAGTTCTAGAGCCACGGCACGACTGTAGGCATCCACAGCCCCCTTGGTACCACAATACACAGCGTGCCTTTCTAACCCGACTTTTGCGGTTTGCGACGATACGTTAACTACAGCCCCTGGGACCTTTCTGGAGAGGAGGTCACTCGTGACCAGTTGCGTGACGTTAATTAGGGCTTTGACGTTGATGTCGAACAAGCGGTCGACGTCGTCTTCGTCGAACGTGGGTACTGGTTTCAGGATGACGATCCCGGCGTTGTTGACGAGGAGGTCGATGGGGAGGATTTTAGACACGGCTTGCTTGGTGGCGGCCCAGTCGGTGAGGTCCACGGAAAGGGTTTGGATGGAAGGGTCTTCGTCGCGAAGGGTGGATAGAAGGTGGGGGTTACGGGCCACGGCGAAGACTTGGGCGCCACATTTGGATAGTTGAAGGGCGATATCGCGGCCAATTCCTGAGGGATGAAAGATGAAACTCAAATTGTGTGAGGGTGAAATTACCTTGACTCGCTCCTGTAACCAGAGCGCGCTTTCCACTGAAGGTTATGTCCATGGCGATGTTAGTACTCAAATGACGATTATCACTTGGGTTTCGGTGATATAGCGACACAGAGGTCACTTAATTTAAACAGTGAAGTAGTACTTTGATAGTGTTTATTTCCTTACAACCTTACTTTATTAAATAGCAAGAAAGCCGCCATCCACCGGAAGACAAGTACCAGTGATCATGGTGGACTTGTCACTCAATAAGTACAACACGGCATCCACCACTTCCTGTACTTCCCCGAATCTCCGAAGCGGGATTTTCTGGATCATGGGTTCAGCGACTTTAGGGTCCGACCATCCCAGTTTTCCCATAGCTGTCAAAATAACCGTCGGGTTGACAGCGTTAACCCTGATGTTGTTCGGTCCTAGTTCTAAAGCAGCCGCACGAGTGAAAGCATCCACCGCCCCTTTACTACCACAATACACAGTGTGGTTTAAAAGTCCAGCCTGTGACGCTTGAGACGATATATTCACAATAGAACCCGGAGCTTTCCTTTGGAGGAGATTCTTCGCCACGATTTGACTAACATGGATTAACGCTTTAACATTGATGTTAAAGATTTGGTCCACGTCGGATTCTTTCACTTCAGTGAGAGGTCCCAGGATGGCCAAACCCGCATTGTTGACCAAAAGGTCTACATCCCCTATAGTAGCAAGCGCTTGATCGGTGGCCTTCCAGTCCGACAAGTCACACGGGACGATTTTAATCGACGGTACTTCCTTCTGGAGACTCTCTGTAACAGTACTTAGAGTACGATGGAACACGATGTGTTGGTTTACCTAGAAGCTCCTTGTTTCGGGCTACGGCCACCACTTTCGCCCCGCCTTTGGCCAGCTGCTTGACGATGTCTCGACCGATTCCTAAACGGTACTGTTATTGATGACCTTGACACAGTGAAGTACTAACCTTGGCTTGCCCCAGTTACCAGAGCGGTTTTCCCGTGGAAATTTATTTCCATGGTGGCACGACGCGCAAATACCGGCGAAATGAAGCTATTATCTTTACAGCCAGCTTATAGGCAGCAAGGTCGCCGATAATGGAAAGCGCAATCAAAAGAGTTATCGGCTGAGTGGGGAATTGGTTTGAAGGTCGAGTTATTTTTATAACAAGAAGGTGGTCGGTTTCATGAGGTGATGCGTTGGGAGTGGTCCGAAAATAAATCGTGAATCGTATTTTGAAAGAAGTGTGAAATTTTTCTTCTTGGTTTGTGCATTTTATGGAATTTAATAAGACTTTCAAAAGAGAAATAAATACTGAATACTCAAAGTAGTTGTGATAAAAAATAAGAAATATGTAAATAAAACAGGGAAAATGTCAGGTCACAAAAAAAGAGAACAAAGAAAAAACACAACACAACAAACGACAAAAAAATAAACAAAAGGAGATAAAAAAACAACGAAATGGAAGAGAGACCTAACATTTGACAAAAAAAAATGCAACTAAAAGAAGGGAGCAAAAAGAAAACGACAAACTAACGACTACGAAGCACTACAAAAAAAGACAGCAAAATTCTCAGAAAAAGCTGCAAAAGGAAGACAAAAACATAAATAAATAAATAAATAATAAATAAATAAAGTTTATTGCCCAACAGAACTACACATTCCAGTTACAGGACAATTATAAAGAATATAAAAACAATGACAACAATTCAGAATCAAAGAAAATAACAAATTAATAAATTAAATGCATAAATAATCAAAGATCTCAATATAATGAAACATAAGAACAGTAACTTAACTTAAATAAAATTAAAATAGAAATAAATGAATGAATGAATAAATTAAAGCCGAAATAAATACCTACATTTATCTGCAATATCAAAAATCAAACACACAATCTGTAAATCTAGGCATATACATCAAGAAATAAATAACTTAAATTAAAATACAACAGTATGAAAACCATATCTGAAAGTAAAGTGTAAACTACTTAAGCTTAATTCTAACAGTGTCTTTTATAGACTTAAGGCTAGTGTTAAAAATGTCAAAATCAGAATTCATTTCTATTTCTTTTAAAAAATAGCTTATTAGATATATCGGTGCTTTTCTCCCAAAATTAGTTCTAGCAATGCTAGTGTATAATGTTACAGAATGCCTGCTGCTAGTTCTAGGTACCAGAAAGGACAAAGAATTAGTTAAGGCCCTGCAATCAATTTGATTATTTAATAATTTATATAAAAAAACGATAACGCCAGTAACACGTCTACAAAATAATGAACTCATATCAAATTTTTCTAGTAGAGCTGTTTGCGGATAATTTCTCGTTGGCCATGTTTTCTGTTCCTTAAAATAGAGGTACTTTAAAAATCTGCGCTGTATGTTCTCAAGGCATACTACTTGATAGTTGTAATAAGGAAACCAAGCTAACGCACAGTATTCTAATTTAGAGCGCACCAAAGCATAGAACAAAGTTTTCAAAGCTTGAATGCTAGTGAAATCTTTGCAGTTTCTAATAAGGAACCCTAGTGATCTTTTAGCTTGTGAAGTAATGCTCTCCACATGTTCTGCAAAACTGAACTTATTATCATACAAAACACCTAAATCCAAAATGGAAGAGCATTTCTGTAAGCTGTGATGATTGATTTTGTAATCAAACTCGCATACATTAAGCTTGTGTGTGAACGAAATAATAAAGGATTTATTCTCATTTAAAGGTAAAAAGTTGAGCAATGACCAAGAAACCAAATTATTTATGTCTTTTTGAAGAAGCAAGGAGTCACTATTACCACTAATTTCACGGTATATTTTAATATCATCTGCGAAAATGAGAACTTTTGAGTAAAACATAAGACAAAAGATAACAAAAAAATCTGCAAAAGTGCCAAAAAAATCAATGCTACCACAGAAAGACGATGAAAAAAGGAGCTCAAAAATTACCAAAAGGGATAAACATAAACACAAAATACAATAAAATTTCGCAACATAATGCAACCAAAAAGGACAGAAAGTACATAAAAATGCAAAACTAATGGACCAAAATTTCATTAAATGTAACAAAAAAGTTACTACACAAATTAACGGAAAAGTACATACGTCAATAAAAAAACGTCCCGAAGAAAGGATAAAAAAACAAAGGCCAAAAGGCAATAAAATATATACTCAAATATTCCGAACACCATAACATTCAAATCATCAGCAAACCATAATCCTCAAATCCTCAAAACACCATAATACTCAAACACTCAGAACACCATTATCCTCAAATCCCCAGAACAGCATAATCCGCAACCTCGTCCTTTCGTCCTTTTCCCCCTTTCCGTTCTTTTTCGTCCTTTTCGTCCTTTTTCGGCCTTATTCGTCCTTATTCGTTCTTTTCGTGTTTTCCGTCCTTTTCGTCCTTTTTCTCCTTAATATCCTGTTTCGTCCTTTTTCGTACTTTTCGTCCTTTTTCGTCTTTTTCGTCCTTTTTCGTCCTTTTCATCCTTTCCGTCCTTTTTTGTCCTTAATATCCATTTTCGTCCTTTTCAATCAATCAATACTTTATTGGTGTTAAAAACTTACAAATTTTCGTCTTTTTTCGTCCTTTTACGTCTTTAATATCCATTTTCGTCCTTTCCGTCCTTTTTCGTCCTTTTCGTCCTTTTCAATCAATCAATCAATCAATACTTTATTGGTGTTAAAAACTTATAAATTTTCGTCTTTTTCGTCCTTTTCTGTCCTTTTTCGTCCCTAATATCCGTTTTCGTCCTTTTCGTCCCTTTTCGTCATTTTCGTCTTTTTCGTCCTTTTTCGTCCTTTTTCGTCCTTTTCAATCAATCAATCAATCAGTGCTTTATCAATCAATACTTTATTGGTGTTAAAACTTACAAATTTTCGTCTTTTTTCATCCTTAATATCCATTTTCGTCCTTTTCAATCAATCAATCAATACTTTATTGGTGTTAAAAACTTACAAATTTTCGTCTTGTTCGTCCTTTTCCGTCCGTTTCGTCCTTTTTCATTCTTTTCGTCCTTTTTCATCCTTCTCGTCCTTTTTCGTCCTTTTCGTCCTTTTTCGTTCTTTTTCGTCCTTTTCGTCCTTTTTCGTTATTTTCGTCCTTTTCGCTCTTTTTCGTCCTTAGTAACCAATTTCATCCTTTTCGTCCTTTTCAATCAATCAATTAATCAATCAATCAATACTTTATTGGTGTTAAAAACTTACAAACTTTCGTCTTATTTCGTCTTTTTTCGTCCTTTCCGTCCTTTTTCGTCCTATTCGTCCTTCTTCGCCCTTTTCGTCTTTTTCGTCTTTTTCGTCCTTTTCGTCCTTTTCAATCAATCAATCGATCAATCAGTATTTTATCAATCAATACTTTATTGGTGTTAAAACTTACAAATTTTCGTCTTTTTTAAAAAATTCAAACATTGTAAATTGACAACAAAAAATTGCAAATCCAAAAGTTTTAAAATCGCAAAGTTAAAAATCGAGAAACCGAAAACTTGAAAAACTGAAAAATCGTAAAATTTTTAAACAAGAAATAAAATCTAGAAACTGAAAAATTGTAAATGGAAGAACTGAAAAAACTTGTGTGCAATACCGAAAAATTAAAAATCGAGAACCTGAAAAATCAAGAAAGAGAAAAATCGAAAAATTTATAAACGAAAAATAAAATCTAGAGGCTGAAAGATGGAAAATTGTAAAACCGAAAAACTGCAAATCAAAAAATGGAAAAACGAAAAACTGAAAAATCGAGAATAAAAAATTGAAAATAGAAAAACTGAGAAACTGAAAAATCAAAAATTTGACATCTTGAAATTTCAAACTGAAGAATTGAAAAGTCGAAAAATTAAAAATCAAAAAACTTGAAAATTTTATATCTGAAAAATTTTAAAAATGGAAAACGAAAAATGAAAAAAATTTAAATTGACAACAAGAAAAAGTGCAAATGAAAAACTTCCGAAATCGTAAAAACTTAAAAATTGAGAAACTGAAAAATTGACAGCTCGAAAAATTAAAAATCGAAAAATTGAAAAATCGAAAATAAAATGCCGAACAAAAAGACAAAAATTCAAAATATGGAAAATCGAATAATTCAAAAATTTTAAATTGACAATACAAAAAATTGATCAAAAATTTGTAATATCGAAAAGTTAAAAATCGAGAAACTGAAAACTCAAAAAACTGAAAAATCGAAAAATTTATAAACGAAAATTTAAATCTACAAACTGAAAGTTCGAAAATTGGAAAATCGAAAAATTGCAAATCGAAAAATTTGAAAAACGAAAAATTAAAAATCAAAAACTTGAAAATTTAAAAATATGAAATCTCAAAAATTTAAAAACCAGAAATATAATCAAGACATTGAACACTGGAAAACGAAAAATAAATCAAACAAGAAAAATTTCAAAAATTCAAGTTGATAAATCAAAAAATTCAAAAATTTTAAACTGACAACAGGAAAAATTGCAAATCGAAAACTTGAGAAACCGTAAAATTAAAAATCGAGAATCTGAAAACTCGAAAAACTGAAAAATCGAAAAATTTATAGACAAGAAAAATCTAGAACTTGAGAGAGCGAAGAATTCTAAAATATAAAAATTGCAAATGGAGAATTGAAAATTCGTGAAAGAATTTAAATTAATTAAAAAATAAAAAAACTGAAAAAACGAAAATTAGGAATATCTAAGAATTGACTAAAGAAATTTGCAAATCGAATAATTGAAGAATTTTCGTCCTTTTCGCCCTATTTCGTCCTTAATATCCATTTTCATCCTTTTCGTCCTTTTCAATCAATTAATCAATCAATCAATACTTTATTGGTGTTAAAAACTTACAAACTCTCGTCTTTTTTCGTCCTTTTTCGTCCTTTTCGTCCTTTTTCGTCCTATTCGTCCTTTTTCGCCTTTTTCGTCCTATTTCGTCCTTTTCAATCAATCAATCAATCAGTACTTTATCAATCAATACTTTATTGGTGTTAAAACTTACAAATTTTCGTCTTTTTTCGTCCTTTTTCGGCTTTAATATCCTTTTTCGTCCTTTTCGTCCTTTTTCGGCCATTTTCGTCCGTTACGTCATTTTTCCTCCTCTTTCGGCCTTTTTCGTCTTTTTGTCTTTTTCGTTCTATTTCGTTCTTCTTCGTCCTTTTCGTCCTTTTTCGTCCTTTTACGTCCTTAATATCCATTTTCGTCATTTTCGTCCTTTTTCGTTTTTTTCGTCCTTAATATCCTTTTTCGTCCTTTTTGATCCTTTTCGTCCTTTTTCGTCTTTTTCATCCTCTTTGGTCCTTTTTCGTTGTTTTCGTCCTTTTTCGTCTTTAATATCCATTTTCGTCCTTTTCCGTCTTTTTCGTCCTTTTTGGTCCTTTTCGTCCTCTTTGGTTCTTTTTCGTTGTTTTCGTCCTCTTTGGTCCTTTTTCGTTGTTTTCGTCCTTTTTCTTCCTTAATATCATTTTTCGTCCTTTTCGTCCTTTTTCATCCTTTCTGTCGTTTTTCATCCTTTTCGTTCTTTTTCATCCTATTCGTCCTTTTTCGTTCTTTTTGGTCCTTTTCGTCCTTTTTCGTTGTTTTCGTTCTTTTTCGTCCTTAATATCCATTTTCGTCCTTTTCGTCCTTTTTCCTCCCTTTCGTCCTTTTTCATCCCTTTCGTTCTTTTTCATCCTTTTCGTTCTTTCTCATCCTTTTCGTTGTTTTTTGTCCTTTTCGTCCTTTTTCCTCCTTATTCCTCCTTTTCGTCCTTTTCAATCAATCAATACTTTATAAATCAATAATTTATTGGTGTTAAAAACTTACAAATTTTCGTCTTTTTTCGTCCTTTTTCGTCCTTTTTGATCCTTTTCGTCCTTTTTCGTCTTTTTCATCCTCTTTGGTCCTTTTTCGTTGTTTTGGTCCTCTTTGGTCCTTTCTCGTTGTTTTCGTCCTTTTTCGTCCTTAATATCCATTTTCGTCCTTTTCAATCAATCAATCAATCAATCAATCAATCAATCAATCAATCAGTCAATCAATCAATCAATCAATCAATCAATCAATCAATCAATCAATCAATCAATCAATCAATCAATCAATCAATCAATACTTAATTGGTGTTAAAAACTTACAAATTTCCGTCTTTTTTCGTCTTTTTCGTCCTGTTTCGTCCTTTTCGTCCTGTTTCGTCCTTTTCGTCCTGTTTCGTTCTTTCTCGTCCTTTTCATCCTTTTTCGTCCTAATTCGTCCTTTTCAATCAATCAATCAATCAATCAATCAATACTTTATCACTCAATACTTTATTGGTGTTAAAAACTTACAAATTTTTTCGTCCTTTTTGATCCTTTTCGTCCTTTTTCGTCTTTTTCATCCTCTTTGGTCCTTTTTCGTTGTTTTGGTCCTCTTTGGTCCTTTCTCGTTGTTTTCGTCCTTTTTCGTCCTTAATATCCATTTTCGTCCTTTTCAATCAATCAATCAATCAATCAATCAATCAATCAATCAATCAATCAGTCAATCAATCAATCAATCAATCAATCAATCAATCAATACTTGATTGGTGTTAAAAACTTACAAATTTCCGTCTTTTTTCGTCCTTTTTCGTCCTTAATATCCATTTTCGTCCTTTTCGTCCTTTATCGTCTTTTTCGTCCTGTTTCGTCCTTTTCGTCCTGTTTCGTTCTTTCTCGTCCTTTTCATCCTTTTTCATCCTAATTCGTCCTTTTCGTCCTTATTCGTTCTCTTCCGTCCTTTGTGTTCTTTTCGTCCTTTGTCGTCCTTTTTTGTCCTTTTCGTCCTTTTCGTCCCATTTCGTCCTTCTTCGTCCTTTTCATCCTTTTTCGTCCTTTTCGTCCTTTTTCGTCTTTTTCGTCCTTTTTCGTCCTTTTTGTCCTCTTTGGTCCTTTTTCGTTGTTTTCATCATTTTCGTCCTTTTTTGTCCTTTTTGTTCTTTTTATCTTTTCTATCCTGTCTATCCTTTCCAACCTTTCTCTCCTTCCTGTGCTTTCTGTGCTTTCGTCCTCTCATCCTCTCGTCCTCTTATCCTTTCATCCTTTCATCCTTCCATCATCTTATCCTCTCATTCTGTCATCAACACCATTATCCTTAAATACTCAGAACACCAGAATCCTCAAATCCCCAGAACACCATTATCCTTAAATCCTCAAAACAGCATAATCCTCAAATCCTCAAAACCCCATTATCCTCAAATCCTCAGAACACTATAATCGTCAAATCCTCAGAATACCAGAATTCTCAAATCTTCAGAGCACCATAATCCTCAAATCCTCAGAACACCATAATTCTCAAATCCTCAAAACACCATAATCCTCAAATCCTCAGAACACGAAAATCCTCACATCCTCAGAACGCCATAATCTTCAAATTCTCAGAACACCGGAATCCTCAAACACTCAAAACACCATAATCCTCAAATCCTTAGAAGAGCCAAATTCTCAAGTTCTCAGAACACCATAACACTCAAATCCTCAGAACACCAACATCCTCAGATCCTCAGAACACCATGGTCTTCAAATTCTAAGAAGATCAGAATCCTCAAATCCTCAGAACAGCATAATTTTCAAATCCTCAAAACACCATAATCCTCAAATCCTCAGAACACCAAAATCCTCAAATCCTCAGAACACCAGAATCCTGAAATCCTTAGAACACCAGAATACTGAAAACCACAACACCTTAATTCCCATAAATAATAAGAACCAAATTAAACAGAAAAATTGTAAGATATAGTCAGGTCAAATTAAAATCTTAAAATCGACTTTTTGTCTGATAAATGAGTAATCAGGAAGAAAACCGGGAGGTTGGGGGGTGCACTTTGATATTTTAAGCATATACTGAACCACTTGACAAACTAAAATAAAATTTAAAGGAAATAAAATAAGCCAATGAAATTAAAATACGAAAGTGGGTGGAGCTATTTTTACCCTTTTTGTCCAGATCCTACTATAGAATAGAAAATACACTTTTTGTCCAATAAAATGAGCGATCAGAAAAAAACCTGGGTGGGTGGGTGGGGCCACTTTGGATCCTTATAAACATAGATTCGTCCCCTCGACACACTTTGAAGTTTTTTTAATTGGATGCGATCACTTGCCACACTAGAATTTAGTGTTCATCTCCCAATAAATAAGATAAGCCAATGAAATGCAGACGCATGTGGGTGGGATTAATTTTACCTTTTGGTCTATTTTACTATTGTTTGTCAATATAAAATCAACTTTTGTCGCACACCAATAAAATGCGCGACTAATTTAATTGGTTTTTAATTAAAGATGAATGTCATCTCGTAATGACATTGTAAATCAGATAGTCGTAGCCGTGCAATATATCTTTTTAATTTGTGCATTTTATCAGTGGCGACTCGTGACCTTTTGAAACGGGGGACATAATTTATAGACGAAATTGTGTGACGGAAATAAATACAAAAATGCATTCAATAAAAGTAAAAAGGATTTGTTACTGTTATTGAGTTACTCCTGCTGAGCGCGGTCAGAACGGGACCGCAGTCCCTTTGAATGATAAAATAAAAATTCAAATAAAACAGACGAAATGTGAAACGGCGCATGCGCAGTGCGCCAAATTTGATTTATCACCGCAAACTTGATTTAAGAGCATTTTAAAGAAAGTAATTAATCTTAAAGGAGCGGCGAATTGAATAATAGATTTAATCATCCCTCCCTCTTATCGCATTAACCCTTCGCAAGCCCCAAGACGTTCGCATTTCCCCATCCGGCCCTCTCATTGCCTTAATTAACCCGTCGTCAGGATCAGAATTGTTTTCATCAGGTTTCATCCCATCTTAATAAAGACTTATGGCTTCATCAACACCGCAAATGTTATGAATACTAAGCAGCTCCTCGGGCGCGCCTCCATAGCCGTCCCCGTTTTTCCCCTACACAGCCACTCAAGAAGCCAATAAAACGGACCGTCCCACATAGATTGAAACATTTAAACTCGCCAAATAATCACCAATTTAGTTTTTCCGGTATTAATTTTAATCGTCGGTGGGTTAAAATCGAGGTTTCTCAGGGGTTTGTACTGAAGCAGTTGTTCTTCTTGTTGTTCGTCAACGACCTAACACTTATGCAATTTTAGTGTTTTGTTACACAAAAAAATTATAATGTGTTGAAAGTATTAGTGGCAAAAGCGAAACCCGCCGCTGGTCCACCAGCACACTCCTCTAATTCAATCAAGCCGCCGCCCACGCGTCACGAGCCGCCACTGCCGCCGATTTTTCCCGGCAAAAGCTATAAGAGGTGCTGGTACCTGCGGATTGTTTGCAGTGATGTGGAAACGGTTTTATTTTGTGACACTTGTGCTGTGGGTCCCGGCCCTGTCAAAATTCTCACCGGAAAGTGTCATCAATAAGATTCTTGACAGGTTGGGGAAGAGTCTGGAGTACGTCTCGGAGCACCATGATAAGATCAACGTGGACTGTTTGTTCGGGGTGGTTTTGGCTGGAGGTAAACGCCGGAATTGACTGGGAGAAATACATTGCTTTTTTTATAGCGATTCTGGATGACACGGTGGGGTATCCAGGGCCGTACCAGGAGCGGGCGAGGGCAATGAAGGCAAAGACGAGGGAGATCTACGCCAAGACGGTGCCTCTGATGCAGAAGCAGACGTACTGGAATTATTGTAAGTCGAGGGTGTCTTCGTAGGGACAAATTAGAAGCTTTATTTTGTGCTAATTAACTGAATATGTAATTTAAGTAGTGCGATCTATGAATTTTTCATTTTTGATTTTTTTTTTTCAATTTTTCGACTCTCCATATATCAACTTATCAGTTTTTCGATTTTTATTTTCCAATTTTTCGATTGTAATTTAAATTTTTCAAGTTTCCGATTTTTGAATTTTGGTTTTGTCAAGGTTTTAAATTTTCGATTTTTCGAAAACGTCAAAAATACCGGAAAAATTTTAATTCGAATAGACTTTTTATTTTTGTTGAAAAATTAAAAAACTAAAAATTCGAGAAAATTAAAAATTAAAAACACGAAAATTTGCAAATTGAAACAATTAAAAAAAACTGTTTGTTCTATTTGTTCTATTTTCAATTTTTTATTCTCGATTTTTCAGTGTTTCGTTTTTCCATTTTTTCGGTTTTACAATTTTCGATTTTTCTCTTTTTTGATTTTTCAGGTTCTCGATTTTTAGTTTTTCGGTATTGCATACAGTTTTTTCAGTTCATTTTCCAATTTTTTGTGTTTTCAATTATTAGATTTTGTTTTTCTTTTTTTACTTTTCAAGTTTTTTTATTTTTTATTTTTCGATTTTTCAATTTTTTAACTTAAGTTTTTCGGTGTTTTATTTTCGATTTTTCAATTGGCAGTTTTTCGATTTCTAATTTGTGGAATTTTCAGTTCTTCCATTTATAATTTTTCGGTTTTACAATTTTTCACTTTCTCAGTTTCTAGATTTTATTTCTCGTTTAAAAATTTTACGATTTTTCAGTTTTTCGAGTTTTCGGTTTCTCCATTTTTAACTTTGCGATTTTAAAATTTTTTGATTTGTAATTTTTTGTGTTGTCAATTTAAAATGTTTGAATTTTTGAAATTTTTCGTTTTCCCGGTTTCAATTTCTAGATTTTATTTCTCGCTTTTAAATTTTTCAGATTTCAAATTTTTAAATTTGCAAGTTTTTTGATTTTTGATACGCGTTTTGAAATTTTAAGATGTCAATTTTTCGATTTTTCAGTTTCCCAATTTTTTATTTAAAATTTTTTATTCTCGGGTTTTTAATTTTTTGGTTTTTCAGTTATTCGATTTTTAATTTTTCGACATTACGAATTTTTGGTCTAATTAAATTTTTTGTATTTTACGACTTTTGAATTTTTCTGTTTTTTTAGTTCATTTTTCAATTTTTTGATTTTTCAATTTCTAGATTTTATTTTTCATTTATAACTTATTTAGATTTAAAATGTTAAGATTTCATTTTTTTATTTTTAATTTTCCATTTTTCATTTCTTCGATTTGCAAATTTTTCGAATGGTCAATTTTTCGGTTTTTTATTTTCGGTTTTTCAATTTTTAGTTTTTCAATTATTCAATTTGTAATTTTTCAATTCTTAAATGTTTGTAATTTTCGTTTTCTAAGTTTTTTACTAATTTTTATTTTCTGTTTATAAATTCTTCCTTTTTTCACAAATTAGTTTTTCGATTTTTTATTTTCGATTTTTCATTTCTTCGAAATACAATTCTTCGAGAAAATTAAAAATCAAAAACTCGAAAATTTGCAAATTGATACAATTAAAAAAAACTGTTTTTTTTTCATTTTCCGAATGTTCAAAAAATTAAAATTCGAAAAATTTAATCTAGAAATTGAAAAATCGAGGTACTGTAAAATCGAAAAATTGTAAAACGCAGAGATACGAAAAATTGAGAAACTGAAAAATCGAAACATTAAAAATCGAAAAATTGCGATATCAAAATTTTGAAAAATCGAAAAATTAAAAATCAAAAAACTAGAGATTTGAAACATTTTAAAATGAAAAATAAAAAATCTTCAGAAATCGGAAAATCAAGAATTTGCAAACAATAACTGAGGAAACAAAAATTGTAAAAACCGAAAATAAAAATCGCGCAACTGAGAAATCTAAATTTCTAAAATTGAAGAATTAAAAAACTAGAAATTGAAAAATCGGATTAAAAAATCGAGTCTCTAAATAATTAAAGAATCGAAAAATTTAAGAACTAAAAATTAAATCTAGAAATAGAAAAATTGGAAAAATCGAAAACTGAGAAACTGAAAACTCGAAAAATTGAAAATCGAGAACCTAAAATTCCAAAAAATTGGTAAATGAAAAAATGAAAGCCCGAAATATTGAAAAATGGAAAAATTGGAGAATCGAAAATTTAAATATAAAAGCTGAACAACTCAAAAACTGAAACTGACAATTCGAAAAAATACAAATCGAAAAATTGAAAAACCAACAGTTAAAGTTCGAGAAACTCAAAAACTGCAGCTCGAAACCGTAGATCAAAACATTGAAAAATCGAAAAATTGGGAAATCGAAATTTTGAAAAGTTGATTGAGAACGAAAAATTGAAAAAATGGAAAATCGAATAACTGCAGAAATGAAAAATTGAAGAATTAAAGAATCGAAAAATTAAATGTAGAAATAGAAAAATCGAAAAGTAACAAACTGAAAATTCGAAAATTTGGAAAACGAAAAAATTAAAACCCAAAAAGTTGAAAAATCGAAAATTTAAAAATATAAAACTGACAATTCGAAAAATTGCAGATCGATAAATTTAAAAACCGAAAGTTGAAATTAGCGAAACTGAAAAATTGGAAAATGAACAGCTCGAAAAACTGTAAATCGAAAAATTGAAAAATAGAATATTTAAAAAAATAAAGGTTGAAAAATTGAAAAACTGGAACTGACAATTCGAAAAATTCTAAATCGAAAAATTGAAAAATTAACAGCTCGAAAAACTGTAAATCGAGAAATTGAAAAATGGCAAGTAAAACACCGAAAAACTGAACTCAAAAAATTGAAAAATCTAAAAAATAAAAATCTAAAAATTAAAAAATTGAAAATTAAAAAAGGAAAAAATCGAAAAATCAAAATTCAAAATCGCGAAAGTAAAAAATAAAAAAATTGGGAACTTGAAAAATTGCTCATCGAAAAATTGAAAACTCAAAAATTAAAAATCGAAATTGACAACTCGGAAAATTTAAGAACGAAAAATTAAACTTAGAAATTGAAAAATCAAAAAATTGAAAACTGAGGAACCGAAAACTCGAAAAATTAAAAAATTAAAAAATTGGAAATTGGGAAACTGAAAACTCGAAAATTGAAAATCGGGAACCTGAACAATCAAATAATTGAAAAATAAAAAAATTGGAAATTGGGAAACTGAAAACTCGAAAACTGAAAAATCGAAAAATTAAAAAACCGAAAATAAAAAACCGAAAGATTGACCATTCGAAAAATTTGTAAATCGAAGAAATGAAAAATGGAACAATAAAAAATAAAAATAAAAACATTGAAATCTTAAAATTTTAAATCTAAATAATTTAAAAATGAAAAATAAAATCTAGAAACTGAAAAAACAGAAAAATTCAAAAGCCGTAAAATACATAGAAATTTAATTAGAGAAAAATAAAAAAACTCAAAAACCGAGAATAAAAAATTTGTAATAAAAAATTGGGAAACTGAAAAATCGAAAATTGACATCTTAAAATTTCAAATCGCATATCAAAAATCAAAAAATTTGAAAATTTAAAAATTTGAAATCTGAAAAATTTAAAAGCGAGAAATAAAATCTAGAAATTGAAACCTGAAAAACGAAAAATTTCAAAAATTCAAGTTGAAAAATTCAAAAATTTTAAATTGACAACACGAAAAATTGCAAATTTCCAAAAAATTTTAATTTGAATAGACTTTTTATTTTTGTTGAAAAATTAAAAAACTAAAAATTCGAGAAAATTAAAAATTAAAAACTCGAAAATTTGCAAATTGAAATAATTAAAAATTGTAAATCGAAAAATTGTAACATGAAAATTAAAAACTGATTTTTTTTAATTTTCCGAATGTTCAGAAAATTGAAAAATCGAAAAATTTAATCTAAAAACTGAAAAATCGAGGTACTGTAAATCAAAAAATTGAAAAATCGGAAAATGAGGAAATCGAAATTTTTAAAAGTTGAAAAATTAAAAATCAAATAACTGAAAACTTGAAAAATTTTAAAATGAAAGATCGAATAATTGAAGAAACGAAATATTGAAAAATTGAAAATAAAAATATCTTTAAAAATTGGAAAATCGAATAACTGCAGAAATGACAACTTGAAGAATTAAAGAATCGAAAAATTAAATCTAGAAATAGAAAAATCGAAAACTAACAAACTGAAAATTCGAAAAATTGGCAAATGAAAAACTGAAATCCCAAAAAATGGAAAAATCGAAAATTTAAAAATATAAAAGTTGAAAAACTGTAAAACTGAAACTGACAGTTCGAAAAATTGAGGATTGAAAAATTGAAAAACCGAAAGTTAAAATTTAAGAAACTGAAAAATTGGAAAATTAACAGCTCGAAAAACTGTAAATCTAGAAATTGAAAAATGGAAAATAAAACACCGAAAAACTGAACTCAAAAAATTGAAAAATCTAGAACATAAAAATTTAAAAATTGAAAAATCGAAGATTAAAAAAAGGAAAAATCGAAAAATCAAAATTAAAAATCGAGAAACTAAAAAATAAAAAATTGGGAACTTGAAAAATTGCTCAACGAAAAATTAAACGTGGTAATTGAAAAATCAAAAAATTGAAAACTGAGAAACCGAAAACTCGAAAAATTGAAAAATAAAAAAATTGGAAATTGGAAACTGAAAACTCGAAAACTGAAAAATTGAAAAGTTGAAAAATGGAAAATAAAACACCGAATAAATGAAGTCAAAAAAGCGAAAAATCTAAAAAATAAAAATCTGAAAATTGAAAAATTGAAAATTAAAAAATCGAGTCTCTAAAGAATTAAAGAATCGAAAAATTTAAGAACTAAAAATTAAATCTAGAACTAGAAAAATTGGAAAAATCGAAAACAGAAACTGAAAACTCGAAAAATTGAAAATCGAGAACCTGGAAAATCCAAAAAATTGGAAAATGAAAAAATGAAAGCCGGAAATATTGAAAAATCGAAACATTGGAAAATGAGAATCTGATAAATCGAAAAATTGGAGAATCGAAAATTTAAAAATATCAAAGCTGAAGAACTCAAAAACTGAAACTGACAATTCGAAAAAATGAAAATCCAAAAATTGAAAAACCAACAGTCAAAAGAAACTCAAAAATTGGAAAATTGGCATCTCGAAACCGTAGATCAAAAAATTGAAAAATCAAAAAATTGGGAAATCGAAATTTTGAAGAGTTGATTGAAGAAACGAAAAATTGAAAAAATGGACATAAAAGTATCTCTAAACATTGGAAAATCGAATAAATGAAAAATTGAAGAATTAAAGAATCGAAAAATTAAATCTAGAAATAGAAAAATCGAAAACTAACAAACTGAAAATTCGAAAATTTGGAAAACGAAAAATTTAAGCCCCAAAAATTGAAAAATCGAAAATTTAAAAATATAAAAGTTGAAAAATTGAAAAACTGGAACTGACAATTTGAAAAATTCTAGATCGAAAAATTGAAAAACCGAAAGTTTAAATTAAAGAAATTGAAAAATTGGAAAATTAACAGCTCAAAAAAGTGTAAATCGAGAAATTGAAAAATGGAAAGTAAAAAACCGAAAAACTGAACTCAAAAAATTGAAAAACCTAACAAGTAAAAATCTAAAAATTGAAAAGTTGAAAATTATAAAAAGAAAAAATTGAAAAATCAAAATTAAAAATCGAGAAACTAAAAAATAAAAAAATTGAGAACTTGAAAAATTGCTCATCGAAGAATTGAAAAGTCAAAAATTAAAAATCGAAATTGACAACTCGGAAAATTTAAGAACGAAAAATTAAACTTGGAAATTAAAAAATCAAAAAATTGAAAACTGAGAAACCGAAAACTCGATAATTGAAAATCGGGAACCTGAAAAATAGAATAATTGAAAGATAAAAAAATTGAAAATTGAGAAATTGAAAACTCGAAAAATTTAAAAATGGAAATAAAACACGGAAAAACTGATGTCAAAAAATCGAAAAATCGAAAAATATAGAAATTAAAAAATTCGAAAAACTTAAAAAACGAAACAAAAATATCCAGGTAATGAAAAATCGAAAAATTGAAAAACCGAAATAAAAAAAAATTGAAGTGAAAAATTGCATTTCGAATAAATGAAAAATCGAAAATAAAAAATTGTAAACTAATTTGTGAAAAAAGAAGAATTTATAAACAGAAAATAAAAATTAGTAAAAAACTTAAAAAACCAAAATCAAAAACATCCAAGAACTGAAAAATTACAAATGAAAAACGAAAAATGAAAAACGCGAAAATAAAAAGCCGAAAAATTTTCAAATCGAAGAAATGAAAAATCCAAATATAAAAAAAATCGAAAACTTTTAATTAATTGAAATTTTAAAGGTAAATAATATAAAAATTAAAAACAAAATCTAGGAATTGAAAAGTCAAAAAATTGAAAAATGAACTAAAAAAAAACATGAAATACAAAAAAATTAAATTTGACCAAAAAATGCAAACCAAAGACTTGTAAAATCGAAAAATTTCAAATCGAAAAAATGGAAAAACGAAAAACTGAAAAATTGAAAATAAACAATTGAAAATAAAAATTTGGGAAACTGAAAAATCGGAAAATTGACATCTTAGAATTTAAAATCGAACCATTAGAAATCAAAAAAACTTAAAAATTTAAAAATTTAACATTGGAAATATTTAAAAACGGGAAACAAAAACCTAGAAATTGAAACTTGGAAAACGAAAAATGAATAAAAAAGGAAAATTTTCCATAATTGAAAAATTTTAAAATTTCAAATTGACAATTGCAAATCAAAAACTTCTAAAATCGTAAAGTTAAAAATCGAGAAACCGAAAACTGGAAACACTGAAAAATCGCAAAATTTTTAAACGAGAAATAAAATCTAGAAACTGAAAGATAGGAAATTGTAAAATCGAAAAATTGCAAATCGAAAAACTGAAAAATCTAGAATAAACTATTGAAAATAGAAAAACTGAGAAACTGAAAATTCAAAAATCTGAAATTGCAAACTGAAAAATTGAAAAGACGAAAAATTAAAAATCAAAATACTTCAAAATTTTAAATCTGAAAAACTTTAAAGATGGAAACGAAAAATGAATAAAAAAGGAAAAATTCAAAAATTCAAGTTGAAAAATCGAAAAAATTCAAAAAATTTAAATTGATAACACGAAAAACTGGAAATCGAAAAATTGGAAAACTGAAAATAAAATATCGAAAAACTGAACTAAAAAAATCGAAAAACTTAAAAAACGAAAATTTTCAAGGAATTCAAAGATCGAAAAATTAAAAATTTGAAAACAAAAAAAAAACGAAAAATTGAAAAATCGAAATTAAAAATCGAGAAACTGAAAAACAAAAAATTGACAACTTGAAAAATTGCATATCGAAGAAATGAAAAATCGAAAATAAAAAATCGAAAAACTGATTTGTGAAAAAAGGAAGAATTTATAAACAAAATAAAAATTATCAATGAACTTAGAAAAAAACAAAATAAAAAAAATAAGAATTGAAACATCGAAAAATTGGAAAATAAACTGAATAAACAAAAAAATACAAAAATTCGAAAGTTGAAAAACCGAAAAATTCTAAAATTTTAAATTAACAATATGAAAAATTGATCTAAAACTTGCAATATCGAAAATTTAAAAATTGAGAAACTGAAAACTCAAAAAACTGAAAAATCGAAAAATTTATAAACGAAAATTAAAATCTAGAAACTGAAAGATCGAAAATTGGAAAAACGAAAAACTAAAAATCGACCTTAAAAAATTGAACATAAAAAAATCAGAAACTGAATAATCGAAAAATTGACATCTTAAAATTTCAAATCGAAAATTTAAAAATCAAAAAACTTGAAAAATAAAAATTTGAAATCTGAAAAATTTAAAAACGAGAAATAAATCTAGAAATTGAAAACTGGAAAACGAAAAATGCATCAAAAAACGAAAATTTCAAAAATTCAAGTTGGAAAACAGAAAAAACAACAAGAAAAACTGCAAATCAAAAACTTGTGAAATCGCAAAGTTAAAAATCGAGAAACTCAACACTCGAAAAACTGAAAAATCGAAAAATTGCAAATGGAAAAATTAAAAATTCGTCAAAGAATTTAAATTAAATAAAAAATAAAAAAAATATATAAAAAACGAAAATTAGGAATATCTAAGAATTGATAAATAGAAAAATGCAAATCGAATAATTGAAGGAATAAAAAATTGACTACGCGAAAAATTGTTAAATCGAAAAATTGGGACAACGAAAAAGCGAAAAATCAAAAGTAAAATACCGAAAAATTTGTAAATCGAAGAATCGAAAAATCGAAAAATTAAAATACTTTGAAAATTTGAAATTGGAAAAATTTAGAAACGAAAAATAAAATCTAGAAATTATAAAATCAAAAAATTGGAAAAATGAAAAACTGAAATACCGAGAATAAAAAATTAAAAATTTAAAAAATTGAGAAACTGGAAAATCGAAAAATTGACAATTTAAAATTTCAAATCTGAAAAATTTAAAAACGAGAAATAAAATCTAGGATTTGAAAAGTCGAAAAATTGGAAACCTAAAAATGAATAAAAAAAGGAAAAATTTAAAATTAAAGTTCAAAAATCCAAAAATTCAAAAATTTTAAATAGTAAAATCTACAAATTGAAATGGAAAAACTGTTAGCGCCTAAAATTGCAAATTGAGAAATTGAAAAATCAAAAATAAAAATTCCAAAAAGTGATTTGAAAAATGGAAAAATTTAAATATACAATAAATAATATAAAAAAACTTAAAAAATGAAAATTAGGAAAATCCAAGAATTTATAAATGTAAAATTGCAAATCGAACAGGTAATTGAAGGAATGAAAAATTGGCAACTCGGAAAATTGGAAAAATGGAAAAGTAAAAAATCAAAGTAAAAAACGAGAAATTGACAACTCGAAAAATTTGCAAATCGAAGAATTGAAAAATCGAAAAATTAGAAATCAAAAAATTTGAAAACCCAAGAATTTGGGAAAACAGAAAATTGAAAAATCGAAAATAAAAAAATTGAATACTGGAAAAATTAAAAACCGAAAAACTGAAAATTCAAAAAATGGAAAATTCAAAATCGAACCTACTCCACTTTGTGTCAACCAACATTCATCCCCTTTTATTTCCAACAGTCGCCAAGCACGTCGTCGTCCCCCAGCTCTGGTCCAAACTCCTCAAATACAAATTCTCCGAATTCCGCATGGCCTACGCCATGAAGAGCCGCGTCGAAGCCCTCTTCTCCATGAAAACCTACGAGAACTACAGCGAAGGCTTCTCCGACCAGTGCCTCTCCTCCGTCATCAACAGCACCCTCAACCTCAAACCCAAAACCATCTGCCGCTTGAGCCCCAAATGCGAGCAGTTCGTAGAAAGCCTGGAAAAAGGCTCCGGCTACATCCTCACCCACAAGTACCATATCGCACTGATTTCCCGAAACCGCCTCACGTATTCCACGTTTCAGACTCCTCCTCCTCCAGGTGGCCCGCGTCCGCAAGTGCACCATGCACCCGAAGATCCTCTCCACCGCCATCAAGAAAGTCTGCTCCACCATCTACACCGAAACCATCAGCGTGGAGTACTTCATGAGCCTGGACGACATCTTCGACTTGTTCTTGGAGCAAACGCTGCTGTGTGGGTACGAGGGGTTCGCCGATTTTTTGAAAATTCCGTGGCTGGAGAAGATTTTCGAGGTGCAGCATGACACGGGGTGTTTTCCTGTTGGTGTGGAGAGGAGGGGGAAGAGGGAGACCAACGAGTGGGCGGATGGGTGTGCGGATCACACCACTGGGTTGGGGACGGCGGTGTTGAGTTTGTATCTCAACTATATTATTAAAAATACCGAAACGATAGTACTCACGTCTGAGTGGTTTTAGTATAGCAGATGTTTTTGTTTGTGCTGATACTTGAATAAAGTTTATTAGGTGGGTTATTGTTTTTTTGATAAGCGTCGGTAGCGATGGGTTTTGGGACAGGGCTGGTGGTTTTGCTGGTGGTGCCGTGGGGGCTGGGGCAGGTTTGGGAGATTGTGGATGGGTTGAATAAGGTCACGGATTTCGGGGTGGAGTTTTATGGGGATTTGAATTTCGACGGGGTGTTGGGGTTCGTGATAGCGGAAGGTGAGTTTGTGGGGAACTTTTTATTTTATATAAAAGAAATTGTGAAATTTAAGTCTGCGAATTTTACTTTTTTTTTTCTTTTTTTTGTCAGTGCCTATTTTTACTTTTCTGTATTGTCGAGCTGTTTTGGTCATTTTTTACGTCTTTTTGGTCGCCTGTGTGTCCGTCTCCTTTTTTCCTCATTTTTTTTGTATTTTTGTCGCTTTCTTGGCATTTTTTTTGTTCTTTATCGGTTTTTAATGATTTTTTTCGCTTCATTGATTCGATTCGTTGTTTTTAATGTGTGTAAAATTGGATTTGTAAATTTTTAACACCATTTTTGTTTGCCTTTTTCTTTTCATTGGCGTCTTTTATTTATTTTTTGTTGCCATTTTTTGTGATTTATTTGCGTATTTTTTCTGTCGCTTTTTGTCTTCGCGTTTTTTAAATTCTGTTTCTTACTGTTTTTGCTCATTTCTTACGTCTTTTTCTGACGCTTTTTTTAGGCTTTCTGGTCTTCCTTTTTATTGCCTTTTTTCCCATCTTATCAGAGCCTGTTTCGGGCTTTTTTTTAATTATTTTTGTCATTTTTTTATCACCTTTTCTTGGTAGTCTATTTCTTTCCGTCCCTTTTTTCGTCGCCTTTTTGTTGACTTTTTCTAACATTTTTTTTAATTGTCCGGAGTCTTTTATCTGTCCTTTTGTTTAGTTTTTTTGACTTTTTTTTTAATACTTTCCGCCTTTTTTTCTGTAGATTTTTTGTCCTCTTTTTGTTATCCTTTTGTTTGTCCCATCTCATGGTCTGTTTTTCTAGCACTTTTTTTGTACCTCTTTTTGTGGTGCAATTTTTTTTTTCTGGCGTTTTTCTTTTTTTGCTTTTTTTTGTAACATTTTTTGCTTTTTTTCCCTTTTATTATTGCTTTTTTTGCCATTTTTGTTCACGTGTTTTTTTGGAAATTTTATTTTTTCCTGTCGTTTTTACCGTTTTTTCGTGCTACCTTTTATTCTCGGTTCTTCTTGTCTCCTTCTTTATTGTCTCATTCCACCTTTTTTGTAGCACTTTTTTTCCTTTGTTCGCCTTTTTTGACCGTTTTTACTGATTTCTTGTCGCTTTTCTTGCCATTTTTACAATATTTTGGATCTTTTTCCAGGCGCTTTTTTAGTTTTTTTACTTTTTTTGAGTTTTTGTATATTCTTTTTTTTTGTCGCTTTTTCATCTTTTATTCGTTTTTTGTCGTTTCTTTTTTTCAGTTCTTTTAATATTTTACGCCTTTTTTCCAATCTTATTTTTGCCACGTTTTCTGGTCTCCTTTTTTAATTGCCTTTTTTCACCCAACCATTTTTTGCCGTTTCCTGCACTTTTTATCTCTTTTACTATTGCATTTTACTTTCTTCTAACCATTTTTGTAATTTTCTGGGGTCTTTTGTCCATTTCTTTGTTTATTGGTGTCTTTTTTTTTACTTTTTTCATGCTTTGTGCCTTTTTTTCTGAAGTTTTTTGTTCTCTTTTTTGTCCCGTTTTATGGTCTGCTTTTATCACTTCTCTTCTACCTTTTTTCTTATATTAATATGTTTTGTTTTAAATTGTTACTTTTGGGGCTTTATTGGCGTTGTTTTGCTCCTTTGGCGTTTTTTACTTTTATGTAATCTTTTTTACTTTTTTTTGTAGTATCTTACGCCTTTTTACCAGTCCTACTTTTGTCCTTTTACTCTTCTTTTTTGCCTCATTTTTAGCATTTTTTTTACGTTTTTCTTGAGTTTTGTTTCATTTTTTTTTACGACTTTTTTTCTGTCGCTTATTGTACTCTTTTTTTGCCACCCTTTTTTGTCCCGTTTTATGGTCTGCTTTTTTTAATACTTTTTTTGTAGCCTATTTTTTGGCGTTTTTTTTTACTTTTTTGTAATCTTTTAACGCCTTTTTTTCTATCGATTTTTTTCTTTTTGGTATTTTTTGTTGTTTGGTTTACTTTTTTTTTTAATATTTTACTCCTGTTTATTGCATCATTTTTTTGGCGCGTTTCTAACCTCATTTTTATGCCTTTTTCACTTTTTTGGCTTTTTTGTCACTCTTTTTTTTGACTCTTTTACTCCTGCTATTTTTGCATTTTTTGAAAATTCGAAAAACTGAAATATTCCATATTTAAAAGTCAAAAATCCAAAAAGTGAAAAAATTTTAACTGACAACCCGAAAATTTGCAAACTGAAACCTCGAAATTACAATTTAAGAACGAAAAATAAAATCTAGAAACTGAAAAAACGCAACACTGAAATATTGAAAAATTAAAAAATTCAATACGTGAAAAACCCACAAATTGAAAAATTTGACAACTCAAAAGATGACAAATCGAAAAATTGAAAAAACGAAAAATCAAAAATAAAAAAGATAATACAATTTAAAAAGGAAAACAATCTAGAAATTGAAAAGCCGAAAAATTGTAAAATTTTTCTAGTTTCATTTTTTTCTTTGCTTCTTAGTTCTTATATTTTGGGTCTTTTTCCTGTCGCTTTTTTTAATTTTTTGCTTTTTCTTGACTTTTTTGTATTTTTTAACGCATTATGTTCATCATTTTTCTACTGTTTTTTGCCGCTTTTTGTTGTTTCTTTTTTTGAAATTTTGCGCCTTTTTTTTCATCTCGAAAAATTGCAATGCAAAAAAATTAAAAATAATTAAAAATTGGGTAAACGAACAATTGAAAAATCGAAATAAAAAAAAAGGAGAAACTGAAAACTCCAATCATTTCAAAATGGAATAATCACTTTTAAGAACGAGGAATAAAATCGAGAAATTGGAAAACGAAACACCGAATTAATGAAAAATTAATAAGTTCAAAAGGTGAAAAACCGACAAATTTGACAACTCAAAAGATGACAAATCGAAAAATTGAAAATTGGGTAAACGAAAAATTGAAAAATTGAAATAAAAGCAAAGAAACTGAAAACTTAAAAAATTTTAAAATGAAATAATTAATTTAAGAACGAGAAATAAAATCGAGAAAGTGAAAACTGGAAAACCAAAAATGAATAAAAAAAACTCAAAATCAAGAACGAAAAATCAAAAATTCAAAAATTTTAAATTGACAACAAAAAAAATTGCAAATCAAAAACTTGTAAGATCGTAAAGTTAAAAATCGAAAAACTGTAAAATTGAAATATGGACAAATGATAAAATTTAAAAAGGAAAATAATCTAGAAACTGTAAAATCGAAAAAAATGGAAAAATATATGAAAACTGGAGTTAATGAGAAATTGAAATATAAAAAAATTTTAAAAAGTCAAAAATCAAAAAAGGTAAAAACGAAAAAAATATATCCAAACTATGAAAAATTGAAAAATTGAAAATCGAATTTTTTATTCTCGTATTTCTAGTCTCCCTTTTATTGTCTCTTCCACCTTTTGTAGCGCATTTTTTTTGTCCTTTTGCGTCTTTTTTCTGTCGTTTTTTATAAACCTTCTATTCTTCGGCTTTTCGATTTCTCGAATTTTTGATCTGTGATGTTCCAATTTCTCGATGATTCGCTTTTTTAATTTTTCGATTTTTCAATTTTTCGGGTCTTTTTTCTCCAATTTTTCAATGTTTCCATTTTTCAGTTTGTCGATTTACCAATCTTTCACCATTGCAGCTTTGAAATTTTTCAATTTCTCGATTCTTCTTCAACTTTAGCGATTTTTTAAATTTTGGATTGACGATTTCTCAATTTCTCGGTTTTTCGATTTTTCGACTTTTCGAATCTTCAATTTTTCCATATTTTAATTTTTAATTTGTTAAATAAATACATATCTTGAGTTTTCATTCGTTCGATATTTCTATTTTTCTTTCTTCGAATTTTTAAATTGTTGGTTATTCGGATTTTTGATTTATCAATTTTTGATTTATCAATTTTTTTCGGTCCTTCAATTTTTCATTTTCCGAATTTTAGAATATTGGATTTTCAGATTTTTAATTTTCCAATTTTGCTTTTTTAAATTTTACATTTTTCGATTTTCAATTTTTTTCCAATTTTCGTCATTTCAATTTTGGAAACTTTTCAATTTCTGGGTTTTTCAGTTTTTAGATTTAAATTTTTTTGATTTTTTGATGTTTCTGTTTTTCGACTTTTCGAATCTTCAATTTTTCCATATTTTAATTTTTAATTTTTTAAATAAATACATATCTTGAGTTTTCATTCGTTCGATATTTCTATTTTTCTTTCTTCGAATTTTTAAATTGTTGATTATTCGGATTTTTGATTTATCAATTTTTGGATATTTTAATTGTAACATTTTTCGATTTCTCAATTTTTCGACATTTCAAATTTGGGAACTTTTTGAATTTTTGTATTTTTCAATTTTTTTATGTTCTCGGTTTTTCGATTTTTCATGTTTCAATTTTTCGATTTCCCAAATCTTCATCATTTCAGTTTTGGAATTTTTCAATTTTAGCCATTCTTTTAAATTGTAGATTTTCGAGTTTACGATATTTATACTTTCCGATTTTTTAATTTTTTGCTTTTTTAAATTTTACATTTTTCGATTTTCAATTTTTTTCCAATTTTCGTCATTTCAATTTTGGAAACGTTTCAATTTCTGGGTTTTTCAGTTTTTAGATATTTAATTTTTTTGATTTTTTGATGTTCTGTTTTTCCACTTTTCGATTTCTCGATTTTTCGATCTCTTGATGTTTCAATTTCTGAATGTTTGGGTTTTTTTAGTTCTCCGATTTTTTCGATTTCTCGGTTTTTCGATTTTTGGATTTTCCAATTTTTCAATGGTTCCATTTTTGAGTTTTCCGATTTCCCAATTTTTCATCATGGAATTTTTCACTTTCTCGATTACTTTTTCTTGACTATTTTGTATTTCTTAACGCATTTTGTTTGGCACGTTTTTCACCTTTCTTGTCGGTTTTTTGTTTATTTTTTAACTTTTTTTATAGTATTTTGTTGCTTTTTTGTCTTGTTTGTTCTCATTTTTGTAATTTTTTTGGCAGTTTTTTCTTTTTTAATTGACGTTTTTCATTTTTTTCTAGCTTTTTTTTGTAATTTTTATCAAACCCCTTTTTTTTCTCACGTTTTTTGTCTCCCTTTTTTCTCACCTTTTCTTTGTCGATTTTTCCGCCTTTTTTTTCGTTACTTTTTTGTCGCTCTATTTTTCGTTTGTTTTTGTCGTTTTTCTTGTACTTGCCCAAAAATTTAAGATGTACAAAAAATAAAACTCCTAAAACCAATTTTTATAACTTATCTAAGAAACCAAAAACTAAGACACAAGCAAATTTTACCCAAATAACTCTAGACCAATTTTAACCCCAGCCCAGCTTCTACAATCCGTACCAAGGACTCGAGGCCCCCTTAGACACCACCTAACCCACCTCATAAACAAATGCCAAGAAATCCGAAAACGAACCGGACCTCTACTACCCACAACGCCGCCAAAAATGCCCATTTGTAAGCCCATTTCGACAAAAACTCCCAAAATTCAATTACCACCGTAGTGCAAGAACACCTTCTGGACCCCACCAACTGGATACTCCCCACCACCTTCACCGCCACCTTACCAGACCTAGGAATTTACCAAAACTGGACCGCACTTGACATAGTCGACAACAAAAGCGCGTCGTACAGGGGCGTACCCAGCGACCACTGCCTCCTAGAAATTTTGGCCCAGAATTGCCACATGAGCCGGTTCTGTGCAGACATGATGGTGGCACCAAGAATCGACACCGGATACCTGCTTTCACACAGGTACAACGCATACAATTTAAATTTAATAAACACTTATTATTATTAATGTTATTGGAGACTTTTGTACCTGCAAATCGTGCGTCTAAAGCAATGCAGTTACGACGACGATGTTTTCCGAGCTTTGACGAAGAGGTTTTGTTCTTTGATGTTGAAGGAGGTTCGAACTAGCGAGGTCTTGGGGTTCCCGGCTCATGATATAGTGCTGGAACAGAGTGAGTGAAATTGAGGTTATGTTGATTTATTTTGTAATTGGGGGTTTTAGTGGTTCTTTGTGGATTGGAGGGTTATTCGGACTTTTTGATTGAGAAGTGGAGGCGGGAAGTACTGGAGTGGCAGAGTCCATTTGGGTGTTATCACAGCGAGGGGGGAAATTTGAAGCGGTCGAGCAACGTGATTGGTTACGGGTGTACGGACCACAGTACGGGGTTGGGGGCGGCGGCGATGGCGGTAAATTTGAGATTTCTGCTACAGGAGTATCCATCTATACCGTAATAACCTGATTCTGGAAAATTATAATATATATATTGAATGAAATCTGAAAAATACATAGTATGCAACCAACACTACGTTGTTAAAATTGTTGCCTATAGTCCGACCGTCTAATCAATATTGTTGTGTATTGTTGGTTGCCTACCTCTCCATTTCTCCAATAACGTTAGTAATTTGTATCGCATTCATTCTAAACGTGATTATTTCCTATTTCTCGTCCTCGTGATACAAAAACGCTGACATAAATTCCAAATTTAAACCCCTAATAAAAAATTCAAAAACTTGATTTATAATAAGAAACAAACACGTGTCCAGCACACCTTTATTTTTAGCTCTCGCTGAGCCAGGTAGGAATTTGCCGTCGAATCTCCTCACGTCACATGAAGTCATCAAACAATATAGCCTGTTAATCTCCGGCAAAAAATTCAAAACAGTCCATTCAAAACATGCATCGCTGCGAGGTCAAGGCGAACTCTCGTTTGCCAGCCAAGATCCGAAATTAATTTTTCCAACCGCCAAAGAAATCCGTTAGCGCTTTCTGTTTACGGCGATGAGTCGAGGATAATCTTATCGGGCCAACGTCAGCTCTTGTGACATCACTGCGATGTTATTTTTATTCACAATAAATCTCTGGAATAATACCGGAAAAAATATACCTGCACGTGCGAAGACTGTGTACAGCAAAATGCGAGTGTTTCTCGCTAATTTGGGTAAAATGTAAGAGCCGAGTGAAAGAAACTGAAACAATTCGCAAGTGGGTAAGCAGGTGGTACACATTCTCAGTTCTCTCACTTCCATCCATAAATTATTTCCCACACCTCAATGCAAATTCGATGGGTCGGATTTTTTTGATGGGACGGTGCTCGAAATCTGGCTAAAAATAGCGGCGAGTTGGGAAGATCGCCGTGATTTGGGTAATTTAGTCCTTTATGACACCTAATTTAAACTTGAATAAATCAGGTGATGGATTTTATAAAAAGTAAAAGTTCGTAAAGCGAGGTTTTCGGTTATTTTCGTTGTAATACATTTACACATTCCTGGGTTCTAGGTTTAATGGCTGTATCGTGTAGATATGAGTGTTTACACAGGAATCGTGGAGTCATTATGAACTAAAATTAAAATTCCGAAAATTATACAGTAATTCTGACTGCATGAGTACAACATGACACATAACATCGACGAATTACAGTTCAAAGATTGATCTTCTTGCTTTGTGGCAGAAACTTTCTTGTTATCTCGAAAAATCAAAATATATTTGTAATAATAAGAATGATGTATACTTGGACCAAAAATAAAATCCTTTATTGTTTTTGACTCATCTCCTTATTTAATAATAAACGATGTTTAGTAAACCAATCAGAAATCCTTTTTCGTTTCACTTAGTATAGTATTTGTAAGCAACCTTAAGTACAATTTCTCCATCATTGTCATTGACATATACTACAAAAATAATGGGGCCAAACACAAATCCTTGTAGTACCCCGTAAGTACCTAGGAGACATTAATCTTGCGATTTGAGGCCTCGGAAATAAGTTGGATCTTATTAAGTGCTTGGAAATACCACAAAAAAGAGCTCCAAAGTTGCCATTTTTCAATAGTTTTAATAATTTCTAATAGCTAGAGATTTATTCTTTCAAATTGATCTTGGAGCCCTCAGTGTTTTATATTTGAAAAATTTTAATGAATCTGGTGTTATATCTGAAAGTGTTTTAAAGGATCTTGGGGGTCTTTTGTATTTTATATTCGAACAAAATTTAAAGGACCCTGGAACCCTCAGGTGTTTTATATTAATTTATAAAATTTTCATAACTCTTAGGGACCTCTAGTTTTCTATATCGGAAAGTGTTTTAAAAAATCGTATGGGCCCTCGTGCTTTATGGAAGTCTCTCGTGTTTTATATCTGAAAAAAATTAAAGGGCCTTGGGACCCCCAGGTGTTTTCTATTTGACAAACTGTAATGAATCTCAGGGGCCCCTGGTGTTTTATATCTAAAGTGTTTTAAAGAATCAAATTTAAAGGATCCTGGAACCCTCAGCTGTTTTATATTTGAAAAGTTTTATTGAATCTCAGAGGCCCCTGGTGTTTTATATCTGAAAGTGTTTTAAAAAACCTTGGGGTCCCTTTGTGTTTTATATTTGAAAAAAATTTAAAGGCTTCTGCAACCCGCGAGTGTTTTATACTTATAAAATTTTAACATTTCACTGGGATCTCTGGTGTTTTATATCGGAAAGTGTTTTAAAGAATATTGGGAGCCCTTTGTATTTGATATTTAAAAAAAATTTAAAGGCTTCTGCAACCCTTGAGTGTTTTATATTTATAAAATTTTAACATTTCGCTGGTGTTTTATATCGAAAAGTGTTTTAAAGACTTTTAGGAGAGGTCGTTATATTTTATACATGAAAACAATTTAAAGGATCCTGGATCTGTCACGTATTTTATTTTTGAAAAATTTTAATGTATCTCAGGACCCCCTGGTGTTTTATATCGGACAGTGTTTTAAAAAATATTGTAGGTCGGCGTGTTTTATGGAAGCCTTTCGTGTTTTACATCTGAACAAAATTTAAAGGATGTTGAGACCCTCAAGTGTTTTATATTTGAAAAATTATAATGAATCTCGGAGGCCTCAGGTGTTTTATACCTAAAAGTGTTTTAAAGAATCATGTGGGGGCCTCATGGTTTCTGGAGTCCCCTCTGTTTTATTTTTGAAAGAATTTTAAAGAACCCTTAGCTATTTTATATTTGAAAAATTTTAATGAATCTCAGAAGTCCCTGATGTCTTATATCTGAAAATGTTTTAAAAAATCTTGGAGGGTACTCGTGTTTTATGGGGGCCCCCTCCTCCTTGAAAAATGTTTATATTTGAAATATCGACATAACTTCTAAAGTATCTTGGAGCTCTCAGGTGTTTTATATTTGAAAAAAAAATCAATCTGGTGTTTTATTTCTGAAAATGTTTTAAGGAATCTTGACGGCTCTTATATTTTAATAAATTTTAAAATATGCTGAAACTCTCAGGTGTTTTATATTTGAGAAATTTTAATGAATCTCAGGGATCTCTGATGTCTCATATCTTAAAGTCTTTTAAAGAATCTTGGGAGGCGGCTGGTGCTTTAAACATGATCTTGGAGCCCTCAGTGTTCTATATTTGAAAAATTTTAATGAATCTCAGAGGCCCCTGGTGTTATATCTGAAAGTGTTTTAAAGGATCTTGGGGGCCTTTTGTGTTTTATATTCGAAAAAAATTTAAAGGACCCTGGAACCCTCAGGTGTTTTATATTTATAAAATTTTCGTAACTCCTAGGGACCTCAAGTTTTCTAGATCGAAAAGTGTTTTAAAAAATCTTATGGGCCCTCGTGTTTTATGGAGGTCTCTCGTGTTTTATATCTGAAAAAATTTAAAGGAACTAGGGACCCCCAGGTGTTTTATATTTGAGAAATTGTAATGAATCTCAGGGGCCCCTGGTGTTTTATATCTGAAGTGTTTTAAAGAATCTTGGGGGGAGGTTATGTTTTATATTTAAAAACAATTTAAAGCATCCTGGAATCGTCAGGTGTTTTATTTCTGAAAGTGTTCTCAAGGATCTTAGGGGCTTTTTGTGTTTTATATTTGAAACAAATTTAAAGGATCCTAGAACCCTCAGGTGTTTTATATTGATACAATTTTAATAATTCTTAGGGACCTCTGATTTTTTATATCGGAAAGTGTTTTAAAAAATCTTGACGGTCCTCGTGTTTTATGGAGACCTCTCGTGTTTTATATCTGAAAAAATTTAAAAGATCTTGGGAGCTCAGGTGTTTTATATTTGAAAAATTGTAATGAATCTCGAAGTCCTCTGGTGGTTTATATCCGAAAGTGTTTTAAAGAACTTTGTTCGTGTTTTATATTTGAAAAAATTTTAAAGGACCTTAGAACTCTCAGATGTTTTATATTTGAAAAGTTTTATTAAATCTCAGAGGCCCCTGGTGTTTTATATTTGAAAGTGTTTTAAAAAACATTGGGATCCCTTTGTGTTTTATATTTGAAAAATTTTAACATTTCGCTGGGATCTCTGGTGTTTTATATCGGAAAATGAAGTGTTTTAAAGAATATTGGGAGCCCTTTGTGTTTGATATTTAAAAAAAAATGAAAGGATTCTGGAACCTTCAGGTGTTTTATGTTTATAAAATTTTAATAATTCTCAGGGATCTCTGGTGTTTTATATCGAAAAGTGTTTTAAAGAATTTTGGGAGAGACCATTATATTTTATATTTGAAAACAATTTAAAGGATCCTGGAACTGTCCTGTATTTTATATTTGAAAAATTTTAATGTATCTCAGAGCCCCCTGGTGTTTTATAACGGACAGTGTTTTAAAAAATCTTGTGGGCCCTGGTGTTTATGGAGGCCTTTGGTGTTTTACACCTAAACAAAATTTAAAGGATCTTGGGACTCTCAAGTGTTTTATATTTGAAAAATTATAATGAATCTCGGAGGCCTCAGGTGTTTTATATCGGACAATATTTTAAAAAATCTTGGAGGGTATTCATGTTTTATGGGACCCCTCCTCTCTGAAAGATGTTTACATTTGAAATATCGAAATAACTTTTAAAGTATCTTGGAGTTCTCAGGTGTTTTATATTTGAAAAAAAAAAATCAATCTTAGGGGCTTCTGGTGTTTTATTTCTGAAAATGTTTTAAGGAATCTTGGGAGGCTCTGCATTTTATATTTGAATAAATTTTAAAAAATCCTGGAATCCTCAGGTGTTTTATATATGAGAAATTTTAATGAATCTTAGGGATCTCTAATGTTTTATATCTGATAGTGTTTTAAAGGATCTTATTCGTGTTTTATGGGGTGCCTCGTGTTTTATATTTGAAAAAATTTTAAAGGACCTTAAGTCTCAGGTGTTTTATATCTGAAAAAAATTTAAAGGCTTCTGCAACCCTCGAGTGTTTTATATTTATAAAATTTTAAGCTTTCGATGGAATCTCTGGTGTTTTATATCGGAAAGTGTTTTAAAGAATATTGGGAGCCCTTTGTGTTTGATATTTAAAGAAAATTGAAAGGATCCTGGAACCCCCAGGTGTTTTATGTTTATAAAATTTTAATAATTTTCAGGGGTCTCTGGTGTTTTATGTCGAAAAGTGTTTTAAAGAATTTTGGGAGAGGCCGTTATATTTTATATCTGAAAACAATTTAAAGGATCCTGGAACTGTCCTGTGTTTTATATTTGAAAAATTTTAATGTATCTCAGGACCCCCTGGTGTTTTATATCGGACAGTGTTTTAAAAAATCTTGTGGGCTCTCGTGTTTTATATCTGAACAAAATTTAGAGGATCTTGGCATCCCCAAGTGTTTTATATTTGAAAAATTATAATGAATCTCGAAGGCCTCAGGTGTTTTATACCTAAAAGTGTTTTAAAGAATCACGTGGCGGACTCATGGTTTATGGGGTCTCCTCTGTTTTATTTTTTGAAAAAATTTTAAAGAACCCTCAGTTATTTTATATTTGAAAAATTTTAATGAATCTCAGAGGCCCCTGGTGATTTATATCGGACAGTGTTTTAAAAAATCTTGGAGGGTACTCGTGTTTTATGGGGGGCCCCTCCTCTCTGAAAAATGTTTATATTTGAAAATTTAGTGAATCTCAGGGATCTCTAGTGTTTTATATCTGATAGTGTTTTAAAGAATCTTGGGGGGCTCGTGCTTTTTATAGGATCTTGGAACCCTGAAGTGTTTTATATCTGAATAAATTTTAAAGAATCCTGAAGCCCTTTGGTGTTTTATATTTGAAAAATTTTAATGAATGTCAGGGGCCTCTGGTGTTTTATTTCTGAAAGTGTTTTAAAGAATCTTCGAAGCCCCCTAGTGTTCAATATGTGGAAAAATTTTAAAGGATCTTAGAGTCTTCAGATATTTTATATTTCGAAAATTATAATGAATCTCTGAGGCGTTTGGTGTGTTATATCTCAAAGAGTTTTAAGGAATCTTGGAGGGCCTTCGTGTTCTATGGGGACACCCGTGTTCTATAACTGAAAAAAATTTAAACCATCTTGATACATTCAGGTGTTTCATATTTGATAAATTTTAATGAATTTCAGGGGCTTCTGGTGTTTTATATCTGAAAATGTTTTAAAAAATCTTGGAGAATTCTCTTGTTTTATGGGTGTCTCTCGTGTCTGCAAAAATTTTATATTTGAAATATCAGAACACATTTTAAAGGATCTTGGAGCCCTCAGGAGTTTTATATTTGAGAAAAAAAAAAATCTTAGTGTTTTATTTCTGAAATTGTTTTAAGGAATCTTGAGGGAACCCTAGCGTTTTATATT